CTCTTTCAGAGGTGTGTCAAGTAGGCAGCAGAGTATTTTAATGTCATTCAGAATTTTTCAAAGTAAAAGCTCAGATGAACTCCAACTACAGCATTAAAGTAGACAAAACCACTACAGAGGAAGTGATTAAATGAGTAACTGCTGTTGCCATGACCGAGATCTATTTCAGCACCGCTATCAAAGCATTTATTTATTTATATTTTTTGCCGCTATCAAAGCACCGTAATCTGGCAGCGGACCAGATATTATTGTTGGCGGGCAGTTTTGGCGAGGGTCCATAATCACAGAGAGAATTAATGTGTTTCACTAGTCAATATTTGTATAAACTTTATCTATTATGTGGTTTATAAAGGAGTGTGGTGCAGAAACAGTGACAATGTACTGTCAAGAGTATGTGTAATTCATACTCTTGGCTTACATTTTCCATATTATCAGTCAGTGGCCAAGTCACATTATAAACGGTTTTACTGAATAATTAAGTAAATATAATTTATTTATAAATATACCTGGCTGTTATACTGGCTACTCTCTGCTGTCTCAGAAGAGACACCTTTTGTGCTGTGTCAGCCACCGTAGCTGTCCTACGCTCTTTGAAAGGGTAGGGGGCAGTGGTAGACTGGAAAGTTGGTTGTAATTTGCAACCTTACCCACTAGATGCCACTAAATCTTACACACTGAACCTTTAAGCAACAATTAAAATGACTTTGTTGTGTTTTATTTAGGACTGTTGTTGCCAGTCTCAGGATGGGTTTTTCATAGAAGTTGACATATTGTCCCGCTATGAAGCCCTGCTAATTATCTAGCTGCTGAAAATCAAGTATCAACCCCTGGGATGGTTGTTAAGACATAACTGTCAGTAGTGTCTCCAGCTGGAACCATGTTTTCTGCTGATGTGTTAAAAACTGTCAACTTTTTTTTGTAAAGGTAAGGCTAGCCTAGTATATAGCTGGACTTTGTTTATACTCAATGTAGTGTGCATGAGGGTCACTCACCAAAAGTAATGTCACCCCACTCCTTGCACATAGACTCCGCAAGTTGCAACTGGGCGTGGTTGTGCACATCCAAATATTTGAGACTAGGCACCCACTGTGTTTTTAAATGCTTGAAATTGTTTACAGGATACTCAACCTTTGTTTCATTAGAAAACATTTCTTGATCTCAGCACTTGACTTCTTCCTTTACAGGAATTGTATAAACAAAAAAAGAATGTCTATTAATAGATAAGTTAACAATTAATTGCAGTTCTTGGCATTGCAGAACTGTACCGGGGGTGTTTCAGAAAATACTGCAACAGATATTACGTTGAGCTTAAACACATATGTACACGCTCGTAGTTCATCTGTAGATATCCGCGGAAACAAAGCTTGTTTACACCTATTTATTTTGATACAATGGCCAGTGGGGAAACTCCAACACTTAGCCGGCCAATGGTGTAACTTCATCACTCACTCACCAAATCAGGGACAGACACTTGCATTTATTGGGCTGGCTCTGCTTTGCTGTGGTCCAGCCAAAAACCTGACAGTTAAAATCATTCAATAAACAATACTCTCTCAACCTCCTGTCAGGCATCTGTAGTCAAGTAAAGAGTGACAAGCCAAGGTGTTCATTGCTTCGGAGCCACACGCTGCTTTCACTTTTTTGGGTCGTGTCATTCCTCAGAGGGAGGTGGTGGACGCTGGCGCTCTGACACAGAGACGTGCAGCCGTGGCTGATGGAGCTAATGAGGCAGTCGGCTCGTTAGCCGCTAATTGAGCGGTCAGCGCCAAGACTGGAGTTCGCCATCTGTTTGTCACAGAAGAACATCTTGTCGCTTCACGCCCGTCGACAGGCCCCTCTCTTTCTCTGTGGTGTGATATTAATAGCTCGAGCTCACAGACGGACAGTAAAATGAAGAAAGAAACTGGAGAAAAACGACAAACAAACTGAAGACTGTAGGGAAGGGGGCAGAGGGGGGAGGAGGTGGAGACACTAAAAGGCCTGCAGAGGAGGAATCTGCCAGGTCCAGTTAACCCCTACAGGAAGCAGCATGTCAGCGAGAGTCTAAATAAAACTGTTGTCTAATATCAAGTCCTTAAATGATCTTTGATACAGTTAAACATACAGATATCATTTCTCAGAGACATAAAACTGTTTTCTCATTTGTCAAATGATGAAATTGGTTTTGACAGTTCCACTTTCTTTGGTAAGCAAAATGACTTGAAAACATAAAAAAAAAAGACGCAGTCCTGGGAGGATTTCACTCCAACCACCATCAGATCATTGTACACACACTTTAGCTTTTTTACATAACCAAAATCCTAATCCCTGATCATAGCCATCCCATAATTCCACTGTATGCATATTATAAACATTTTAAAAACATTATGCAGGGTTTTGACAAACTTTCAAATGTCAATGTTCTTGTGTTTCAATAGAAAAAATGGAAACGCCAGTTATTCAAGAACAGCCTTCTCATTTTTATCTGCTGTTACCATCAGTCACTTAAGAATATCAGCAACAAACCGAATCATTATTATTATTTGATTTTATAAGTTTGGTCAAAACTTCACCCTGTAAATTAATTTGCAAATTTGTTACCTTTTATTTATTATCTGATTAATTTAAATTTGAAAAATGATCTGTAAGTTTGATTTACAAAAACACTGAGATAAGCAGCAGATAATAGCAGAGATGCTATTATTTCTTAGTTCAAAATAGAATTGACATGTTTCATGCCAGAGTGATCTTCAGTAAGTGATCTGACAAGTTTTATAATACCGTATAGTCCGTTTAATATTTAAAATTATGAGTCAGCAGTGTGGATAGGACCGTTTTTAAATTGGAAATGGGAAAACCCAAACGCAACACCCAAAACTGGCTGCACAGAAAATCAAAACAGGATGATTAGAATAAAGAGGAACCTTTACTTTATAACTCAATATGCTCAAACGTGTCAATCAGATATCTAGAATGTAAACATCTCTCATTTTTCATCTTTTAAATGCAGATAATCTACCACAGAAACAAACTCCTCTGAAGATAAAATGAAACCGTTTATTTGGGGCTTATCTTCTCTGACGCCAGGCGGAAAGTAGCAGGCAGGAGGAATCGTGTGTGTGTGTGGCGTCGGCTCGGTGGAGGTGCTAATTTGTTAATGTTCCTTCCGTGAGGAATCTTAATTAGCGTTGTAAGTTTCATGCCTAATTTAGTGATTATGTGCAGGATGAATGAACTAATGAACATCTCAGGATGTTCCAAGTCATTCCACACCTTTCTCGGGTTTTTTTTTACTCTAGCAGAGAATTAATAGTTGAAAGGTTAACCTTTACACTTCTGTGTTTTAATTGTGGTAAGTATTGAGGATTTTTATTGAGTTAGTGGAGCCAAAAGGTGACCGATGTTGGTTTGAGCCTGTTTATTTCTCCCATGGTAACAGGAAGCTGTGAGGGAGGAGTCTTTGGTTATCTTTCAGGACGATTGTTCAGCTGTCTGTGGAGTTTGTAACGAACTGCTGTTCACATTCACAGGTGTGTTTATGTGCATACTATCATGTGTTTTGTCCTCAACAACAGGGCTTTTTTCACGGCAGACATTTTGACTTGCCACGGGAGGAAAATCACAGGTTTTTAACGATGGCCTTTTTCTATTCAAGTATCCAAGTTCAAGTGTGACTTGAGAGCCAGCATGCTCAACACAAGGACGCTGAAACCAAACCAGCTAAATCAATTCAGCCATTATTAATTTTATTATTTACACCTGCGCTTCTCCTTCTGTGACATGTTTAAATGTCTTTTGTGAAACAACTTACACTTGTAACACAGTCCAATACTCCAAAGCAAAATATCACAACAACTACTGGTCAAATTGTGAAATTTCTTGCTCCTCAGAGGAAGACCTCTTCTTGAGTTTAATAAACCCATGACCTCTCCTCTGGCTGCTACGTCCAAAGTTGTTCTCTTTTAGGGGAGCTGCTTGGTGACCACTAAAGTTTGACTATGTACACTTTGAAGCTGGGTATTACTGGTCCCCATTGTTGAATGGAATTGATGATGCATGAAACTGTATACTTTCAGCTTTCTCCATTCTTTCTTTTCTCTTCAAACCCTATGAAAAAATATATCTGTGTGGTGCTTCATGGCTCAAGGGTTACGACGCAAAACGTGATCCGCATGCCCATTATTAGAATCTGGCCGGTGACCTTTGTTGCATGTCTCCCTCATTTCATGTCGTCTTTTAACTACAAATATCTAAGAGGCGGATTATGTGGCGGACTTTGATACATCTGCTCTAAATCTTTAGTTTTTTGCATCCAGCACTTTCATATTGGGGCTGTAATGAAGACTGCAGCCTGTTGATGAAATATTGTGAGCCAGGTTCAGAAGTTTCTGAGACTGATGAAGACTTAATATAGCATGGTTTATTGAGCCCGACTGAGGAGATACACTGCCAGAATACAACACGTGAACACGTCAAATGCCTACACCAAATCTGAAGGATAACATTTTTTGGTCCGTTTTATGTTTCTGTCGTCACCCTAGTTCCTGTAGGTTGTCCCTCTTAAGTCATATTTAGCAGGCCTTAACCTAGAACAACAAATCTATCTGATGTTTAGACTCTATTGCTACATCATTGTAGCATGTAGCTACATGTCCATGAGTTGTACTCTAATCTGTGCAGTCGGTGAGTTATTGTAAACAGTCTTGTAAGACTCAACATTGCCAGATTCCCAAAAGAACACTGATTTATGCTAGCATGACGCCTAAACTACTGTCTCTACCTTATCAGTCTTCTCCCTAACAAGGACAGTTACATGTGAGAAATAACTAGAGCTGGAAGGTTAGAGAACACTTGTGGGGTCAGCTAATGACTCTAAGCTAGACCCGTCTTACCTTTCCCTTTAACATCGATTAAGACCCCTAAGAATATTCTATAACGCAGCCTCTGGGGCACGCTAGTCAGACTTCAGACTGCTTTTATTGATACATATAATGTGACAGGTCTGTGTGTTTTGTCTTCAGGGTTGGTTCAGTCCTGGTCAGGTGTTTGTCCTGGATGAGTACTGCGCTCGGTACGGTGTCCGAGGCTGCCACCGTCACCTGAGCTACCTGAAGGATCTGATGGATTATTCAGAGAACAGTGTTGTGGTCGACCCAACACTTCTGCACTATAGCTATGCCTTCTGCGCCTCCCACGTCCATGGAAACAGGTACCCGCCAAAACTGACTCATTTAAACTGGTCTCAGGAATCATGTGGGAGCTCATGATAACGATAGCCATGGTGCACGGCAAATTTTCTGTCCATCTTTGCAGAGATCCTTCCAGTAAGTCCCAGTATCACAGCTTGGTCTTGCTTTAAATTGAACCTTCGCTGGCATTGTTTCAACATGATACCTTTAGAATAATAGCTTCAGAATAAAATACTATGTTGAGATTTACAGAATAAAGAGGGTCGAGTTCTCTTCAGTTTACCTAATCATTTGTAACATAACTTTTTGAAAATGAACAATGTGTGGAATTACTTTATGTATATAGCAACAGATATCTTAGAACAGCTCTGTGAGCAGACTGTAATTTGACCTTTACATTTATTCTGTATATTTTCACTGAGCACAGATGCTCTTTTTCAGCCACACAGAGGCTGGATCCAAATGTCCAAACTTCCACACACTTACAGACTCTATTTGTGGCACATAATCATAAAGTCTGGACTGCCGAGTGCTGTCCAAAACCATATTTCATCAAGTTGAAGCAAGGGGCCATAAGTGCACTTACTGCAGACTTCCAGAGAGTCCACTCCGGGTGCAGATTTCACCAGACTTTGTTTGGAAGATCACCAAAAACTGATAGCAATGTGGGTGTGATTTAGTTTTATAACATAAATTTGCTGTATGTCTAATTTCAATATTTTAATAAATAAACTTAATTTATGTTATGTTTATTTTATGTTTTTTTTGTGACAAAAATGCAGTTGAAAGCTATGGAGCTAAAAGCTAGTAAGTGGTTTTGTCAAATTACTTTTTCCAAGGATAAAAATGAACTCCCACACTCAGAGACTTGGCATACAGTAAATTGCCAATGTAAATTTTATTTCAGATCTGTTCGGATAAATGCTCAGACGTGGATGCCAGGTTCAAGAGCTCGGCATTGAATGTATTCATAGCAACGAGTGAGGATTTGAAATCCCGTCTCATAGCACATTTTATCCCTCACTGACTGACCGTGAACATTTCAGATGCTTGTCACCGAACACTTTCCAAGGATATCTTCATATCCAATGTCCATCATAGGGAAAAATAGAATTTGCCTGAGAATCATCAAATTTTAAAATTTGTCTTTAGTATCAGTGTAATCAAGGGAAAGTTGTCTAAACATTCATGGTTACACTGCAAAAGCTCAACATAATATTAATGGTGCCAATTTGCCAAAAAGTAAGAAAATATAGGCTAAGAAAATGGAGCTCAAGTTGTCAAGATCTGATGACTGGAGAGGCAGCAAAGTTGTCTGGATTTGTGGTGTTTATCGTGGTGGTCAGTAACCACATTGTTGTCTTTGACAAAAAGAAACCAACTTTAAGTGTCAGTAGGAAATGAAAGATGAGCAAGAAGCTCCAGTGTTAAAATAGTATTGTTGAAGTATTTTTGACCCACCGATCCAACCCGACCCAACTCCTACCTTTTTGGACTTTTCCCTCTTTTGCACGTGATGGAAAAGAGTCATAATGTCCCACGACTGCTGTATGGCTTTGTCATTTGAACGTGAACAGATATTGATTTTGGGCATTTGCTTGAACAACTGTTTTTCTTGAGTCTCTAAAGGGTGAGCAGCTTTGGTCACTAGTAAACTGTCCAGATATGAGCAGCAGCAGTGTCTTTTAGCCACTTGTTGGCATCAGCGTTGCTCCGGCAGTTTAGTTCTCCACTTCACTCCCAACAGCCCCTGCTTGCTTCACTCCCTGGTAGTTACTGATATCTGTGCTTTTTCTCTTTGTCGACTCATTTAGTCAATTAGAACGCGTAATGATTAGCTTCTCCAGCAAATCGCCAGATATACTGGGGGAGGAGAGGGGTTACTGGAATTGGCTTTTTGTCAGTTGGAGCTCTAATTTGAATAATTGATGCCCATTCAGGCCTCATGGAGCTGCCTGAGTGGGTGTGGATGGGAAAAAGTGGTTTAGGATGGCTGGCAGGCTCGGAGGTGAAAAAAAAAAACTTAATTACAGAACTCAAGTTTTCCCTGGAGGGCTGCTCGAAGAGACGAAACTACGTTGGGAGGCAGAGGGGACAAAGACAGACGCCACAGAATGATCAACAGGAGAGTACTTGACTAATACTTCAAGGCAGTATATTTAGACTGTGCTTTTCTTAAGATATGTAAAAGCCTCCCACAGATGATGTCAGATTTTCAAGGTTTGTTGACTTTTAACCATTTGTGGTCTACAGTAAGATCAGTTTAGTTATTTAGTCATTGTCAATTTTTATGTACTATAATACCTAAAGCAGGCTTTTACCCATAATTCATGGCAACGTTCTTTTTCTTACAGCACACTTTCTCCACAGTCTAGTCAGAGTTTAAAAATGATTTTTGGTTTTCTTTGAATGATGAAATAGATTATCCGTCTTTTTATTCAAATTCCTATCTTCACTTCTGATCACTATGCTTCAGTGCTTTTTCAGCTCCTTTTTTATGTTTTATGAATTATCAGTTATTCTGAAGAATCTGATGTTTTTTATTCACAATGACACACTTTTACTGTCCCATTTATTCATACCCCTGTTTATTCTGGTTGCAGCTACATCATGTTTCCTAGTGAAGTGTTTTCTGTTCTTCAGCAGACATATTTTAATATTGTTAAGAGTTCTTTAACCTGTTTAACCAACATTGTTAAAATTTTACAGCAGATTGAAAGAAGCATTGTAGCGCATTTCTGTCTGTACTTTACTGGTTGTGAAAATTAGCAGAAGGAAAACTGTAGAATTCCCTTTCCTGCTTCGCAGATTTTGTCAGACTTACAAATCAAAGCTATCCACCCATTTTCTTATGTGGTCAGGTCACCATGGCGGCAAGATAAGCAAGGAAGTCCAGATGTCAGTCCTCCCAAGATACATTTTCCGGCTCCTCCTAAGGGATCCCGAGACGTTAGCAAGCCATATGAGATGTATAATCTCTCCAGCATTCTTTGGATCTACCTCAGGGTCTCCTACCAGTTGGACGTGCCCGGAAAACCTCCAAGGGAAGGCACATACTTATCAGATGCCACCTCAACTGGCTCCTTTCAATGCGAAGGAGCAGTGGCTGTACTCTGAACTCCCTCCAAATGTTTAACCTATTTCTAATTGTGAGCCCACCCACTAAGGAGAAAACTAACTATAAAATAAACCACTTATATCCACAATCTCATTCCTTCTGTCACTAGTTCATGATCATAAGTGAGGGTTGGAAGCCAGATGGACTGGTAAACTAAAAGCTTTTCCTTCCGGTCGAGCTCGCTCATCACCACAACGGTACAGTACAATCCCTTCATTACTGCTGACGCTGCAAACAATTCGCCTGTTGATTTTACCCTCGCTTGTCACGGTCTGATGAAGCCAACAGAGCCACATCATCTGCGAAGAGCAGAGTCCCAATACTGAGCTCCCCAAACCAAACCCTCTTCTCCCGGCGGCGGCGGCACCTTGAGATCCTATCCATGAAAATCTTGGTGTAAAAGAGAGAAGAGCGAAGTACTAGAGACCTGATTGTTTAAACCAATTCACTCAAGATGGTTTATTCAGATTCTAAAAAAATGCATCTGTCACTCCAAACTGCAAAATCTTTACTCTTCCTAAGTATAGCTAGGTCAGTCTGTGGAAGTATTCACTTATAGTGCCTGGACCCTGTGATAATGGCAGCTGAAGTGACACTGAAATTACAATGTAATGTAAGCGAAAGTGTTTTAAATTGCATCTGGGTTTATCTGGACTTGAGACACACGTGAGAATGTGGCTATTAAGGCCTGCTGTGTTAATCATTAAGTATTTAGGGCTGTAGGATTTAATGTAACAACTCAAGCTGAGCAGGTGAAGGAGCTGTGACACGTTGATTCATCTTGTGCTGGTCTGAGGAGACGGGTGCGTTTGAACTTGGATCAGGGTTAAAGGAGCATTACCAGAGCCAGAGGGGTTCGGTCGCCTCCCTCTCACCTGTCACATCTGATCTTCTCCTGGCCAAGCCATCCACAGCACACTGACACAGGATGTGACGGGAGCCTTTACCTCCCTCAGCCCTTCACACAACAACCCCCCGTCTCCACAGAGGTGATGGCAGAGGAGGAAGGTGACACACATGATCACCTGCCACTCATCTTAATCTCCTTTCTACACCTCTTAAGGTGAAGTGGCGTCCACCCCCGGTACACTGCCACACCGTTCTGCGAGCTTGACTCTTGATGACTCTTGTCAACTGACATCAGAACCAATCAGCCCAGAGGGTTTGGTAGATCCCGCAGGCGGATATGGCACTTATCATTTACACTTGAGCCTCATCGAGTGTAAACACACAAACCTGGGTCTATAGAGCCCCCCTCCCCTCGGCCCCAGAGCGGCGCTGACATCAGCCTCGCCTCCAACGAGCTTGCTTCATTTAGCAGCAACAATGTGTCTGAACCCCGACAAGCTGTCGCATCGCTCCCCACTCTGCCATGTGAGCCCAAGCATGAACATACATCTGACTGAATTTAATGGCACAGTGAGGAGAGCTACCAAACCAAACACCACACCGTGTTGTGTTTGTACATGCTTGCTACGTTTTGCGTCTGGCATCCTGCCAACTTGTTCCTTGTCAGATTTGTTTTCTGCTGTAATTCCATTCAGAGGAAGGGGAGGGTGTGAGTGACATTTGGGGGAGGTTTCATATATCGTTTGAAATCTTGATGATCTTTTTGTGATGATTAGAGTAAAATATTTCAGCTTTCAAAATGCTGATTTAACTAACCACTTTCACTTTTAAAAATTTTTTGTGTTTTAGTGTTTATTCCCATTGCTAGATATATAAATGCAAATCTGCTGAAATAGTCAAATCTATCATGTGCAACCTTTCATTCATTGGAAAATTGGCTTCTCCAGTAAGTCAGACACGAGAATGTCGTTTTAAATGAATCGATATTTTGTAAGTTTTGATCAAAAGTTGGTGAATTAAATTTTAAATCCGAGTGCGTTGTGACCTAAAACTGTGCAGGTTGTTCGTGTAAAGCAGCACCTTGTGTATGCTTTCTCTGAATTTGAACTTGGAGATTCCCAGCAGCCCTTGGTCGAGCAACTCGACAATCACCCCTGAGGGCAAATGCATTATGACCATGTGGGAAAGTCTGCATTTGTAGTCAATATATTTAAATGTGAAGAGAAGGAGCTGATATCACAGGCGACAATCTTTGACAAAGGTAACATCTCAATGGTGTTGGGTACATATGTCAAGATTGTTTTTCTATGTGAAGATCAATTTCCTGAGACTGAAGCTTTTTCTTAAGAGAGGGAGGAAAACCTTTGAATATTCCAGTCTAAATAAAGATATTTATACACATGTATACAGACATGTGAAATTCCTCCACATTGTCACTTGAATTTTAGAGCTGAAACAATTGGTTAATTTATTGATATATCAGCAACTTTTTTAATAATCAGTGGTTAAGTAACTTCAAACAAATATTTAAATATTTTTACAATTTGGACTGTTAGACCGACAAAATGGGACATTTGTAAATGTGAACTTGGATTCTGGAAAATAATGATTTTTCACTATTTTCTTTTATAAGCAAAGCAAATTTTTAAGATAATAATCATCAGACTAATCAGTGATTAAAATAATTGCTAGTTGTAGCCCTTATTGTATGTTACACTCATTAGGCAAGTCATTAAAAACTTTTAAAAAATGATGTCACTGCAGTGAATACGTAATACATTTAATTTCTATCTTAATTCTAAGAATTTTAAGTCTCTAATTGAAGTATTTTGCTCTAAAAATAGTACAATTTCTGCTCCACCCCTTTTACACTGAACCTGTAATGTAACGTAACATGAGAGCTGCAAAACTGATCAGCCAGGTTTATTGTCTGTGGTGCACATGGAAGTAAGAGTTGATTGAGGAAGGTGAACAATGGATTAAAGGACAGCTGGCATTAACTGTAAGGGCTTGGAGCCTCAGGCCATCCATCCCTCCATCATCTATCCTTCTGTCCGTCGAAGATCTTGCTCTGACCACAGACCTGACGTGTTCATTTGTCCGTGCAAGGGCCAAGAGCGCAGCGAGGCCCTCGGCTGCTTCAACATGAAATCCAGCTTTTCTTGCCTTTACATGAGTGAGCACACACGCTCCTCCCAACAACTCTGCTTTATGTTCCCTCCGGATTAACTGGTGCTTGTTAAATAGGGGTTGTGGGAAGAGGTGGGGGTGTGATGAGGGGGTGGGCGTGGTAATGAATTGGCAGATTTGGGGAACAACAGGGTTTAGAAGTTGTGCTAACAAGTGCTGTTGTGCAGAGAAAGCTGCCTGTCATTACAGAACAAATTGAGTAGAGTGGAGCTGAAGAGAGAGGCACTGATGTTCCTACATAATGCATGAACACTTCCTGTTGTCATCCTGCTCCTCATCTACAACCTCCATCCTCCTAACACCAACCTGTTCTGAAGAAATACTCCTTTTTGTCTTGCCAAAAGCTGAATTTGTTTGTGTAACATTATTATTATTATTAATTTAATATATTTTTTTCTTTTACATTTTAAGTAATGTTATTTAATTTAATATTACTATCTTATTTTGTATTTTTAATGTAATTTAAAATACATTTTTATGTTGTTTTATTTATTTTTATAACATAATTTGACGTAATTCTTCTGTGTGTTTTGTTTTATAATCTATTTTGATTTGTTTTATTTTGTGTTGTATCATATTCAAGTTTAAATTCTATTTATTATTTTTTTATCCTGATCTGGGATTGCATGACACATAATACTGTAGCATTACATAAACATAATGTTGTGAAGGTTTACGTTATTTTAATTATTGCAAGGCTGTATTGTTTGTTTATTACTTCTGTCATGCATTTTGTCTGTGCTTGGTCAAAATCCTCCTGTTTTATTTTCAGTGATTCACCTTCCTGGTTAAATAATGCTATTATTTTCATAAATATATTCCATGGGAAGTTGATCAGTGTCTGTTCGGTATCGTCGTCTCATCTGACTCCCTCGCTGCAGAGCGCCAGACTTCTGCAGCTTCTCCTTTCTTATCACGTTTTTATTTTCGACTTCGGAGAGTCAGGAACACGCCGAGAGGAGCTCGGCAGAGTTGTTGGTACTCGAGGCGCGGCGGTCAGGGGCTGAACCGGCGAAGGCTTTTATAAGAACAACTCATTAACAGACAACCTCCTCGCTTCTTCCCTCCAGCAACCGCAAGTGCCGTTTGGAGAGGGTGCTTTTCTCTTTCAGCTGCACATAGAAAGCCCAGAAAGTCAAGGCTGGTCGCTCTGGGTACTGATTGCATTTTTCCCCCTTTTTTGCCAGAGTGCCTATTCAGACGAAGGCAAGAAGGGAATGAAAGCTTTACAAACATTAATGAAGCGCTCAACTAACAGTTTTTTCTTTGTCGACTCTCCTCCTGCCTGCCGGATGAGTTGTGGAGGAGGAAGAGGAGTCTGAGCAGCTCTCTGTTTGATTGGTTGACACTGAGGTCAGTGTGGAGAGTTTGGCTGCTTTCTGAGTTAGTTTGGTGAAAACAAGCCAGTCCGACTCGTCAGAGCGAAAAAGAAGGCAACGACAGAAAAGCAGCCTGAGCTGTTTTCTAAGGCTTCACATTTTGTCCCATTTAGTTTTTCTTTTTTTCTTTGTAAAAACAAATGAAGATTCCTGCACTGACTTGACCTCTGTGTGTCTCTGCTTTACTGATATTTAAGACCTTTAGCTGGTGCCGGGTTCTTACTCATAGAAATGTCTTTTTGTAGGTATTTGCAGGCAGCAACTCTTGATAAAGAGGGCGTCTGTGCTGAATTGTGAACAGCATTCAAATATATAGCTCCCAGCGTTCATGTTTGATATTTCAAATTCTCAAATAGTGGAAAAGGCTTTGTTTTCTAATGAGATTATTATATAAAGTACATTTACCTTAAGGGACCCATGCACTTGGTTGTGTGTGTATCTGCTTGAATACTGCTGGACCCATCAGTCTAATATTTTTTGTGCACATTTATGATTGTCTGCCCAAGGACCTCTTGTGGTTGCTGTTATTCACAATTTTTGAAAAAACTGTTTTACTGACTGAGCCTCTTGTAAAGCTTAGACTTTCGTCTTTTCAGCAGTAATAGAAATTTTACAATATGCATTTCGACATAGCAAAAGGAATTTCCGGCAATCAGCTAGGCTAAAAAGGAGTCTTACCTACTCTGTTGCCTTTGTCGTGGCTCAAAAACTGACATCCATAGAAAAGTTTGGTCTCATCTTGAACCGAATCATCTGAAACTCCATATGCAATATGTTATGGTCACTAGTTAGGCACAATACGAGATAAATAAATAAATCTCTGTTGTTATTTTTGCCGCCATTCAAGAGAGAATCAAGCACATGACGGTAGGAGAACATAGAGGACAAGACGGACAGCCTACATGTCTCGAAAGATGCAGTCAGCTCTGGAGAGTTGGTCAGCAGGGTGGGAGCTGGTCTCCTTCACCTTCCCAGTCTGTCGACCTCTCCTGCAGGCAGGACCACCAAGTCAGAGAGCCAAAAATAGCCTTCACACTTAAAAAACCCCCATCACTTCATTCACATACTGTACAGTCTTCATTATATGATATTGATGTTTAAATGACATTTAACCAAATCAACACAGAAAGAGAGCATATTGTCAGGTATAATTTGGCTATTGTGTCATGTGATGTAATGAATGTGTGACACAATTTCCCAGTTCATGGAGCCGCACTGCAAACTGGAGTCTGTGACAACTACATACATTTATTTAGTGTGTTTGATAAATTACTTAACAGTACGCAACACTTAATGCAAAATGGTGCAAACGTGAAGGGCTGGAGATTAACTACTGCCATTGAGGAGTACCGCGTAGCTTCATTAGCTACAGTTTCAAAGTAGCTCCCCCACAATGCACAATTTTTTTTGTTTTTCAGGATATTGCAGTTGTTTGCAGTTCTTTTCGGTTTTATGTAATAACAGATACTTTGTGACTGTGCTTATTTTAACACTGTACGTAGCTCTTTATCTTATGTTTATATATTATCTGTATATCCTGAATAATGAATATTATCAAAAGGAAAAACGGTGGCATTCTCTCCCTATGCTTGTGCTGACCATTAATGCTGGCTTTTATTTGAGAATTAATAGATTCATGACATCAGTCATTAGTTGTTTCATCCTGAAAAAACAAACTCCTTTGCACCTTCAGCCTATAATCTAGTAGCCAAGAGGTGAATATGAAAGTCAGGTGACTGTGTCCTGTGTCTGTCTCGTCAGGCCCGATGGGATGGGGACGGTGACCGTGGAGGAACAAGAGCACTTTGAGGCCATCAGGAGTCGCCTCATGACTCTGCTGGAAAACAAGATCACACATTTTAGGTATGAACCTTCTCACCAGAATCACAAAAAACAACAACAATCTGTGTAAGCTATTGGTTTACACTCTATATCTGTACTGTACGGAAATCAATTTGTAGACTTCAAAAAGGTCACTACAGTTTGGTGAAAATGCAGATAGTTTCGGTTTTATTTGCCCAGGTTTGAGGTATCTTTCTCCACCTGAATACAATAAAGGTTTATGGAATTTAGTTTAAGCTGCTTAGAACGTTGAGAACAGCATTATGTTTTAGATGATCCCGGTTATGCTTTTTGTACATGTAAAGTAGTTTGATCTAAATATTAATACTGTGCCTTTAAACACCGTATCCAGGTTTCTTTTCATTCTCAGGTGCACCATCAACTACATAGTCAGTAAAACAAAAACATGATGATAGATAGATCATGTTATTATAGTCTAGCAGTGTGGTACATGCAGCAGAGTTTATCCTGAATTGTTAAGGTAACTCACTGGTAACAGAAACAACAGAAATTCTGGATGTGACCTAATAAAAGACACACCTGGACCCACGCTGAAAATCAGAATTTGTCTGGATAATGTTAAAATCTAAACAGAGATATGAATAACCAGGGTTCACACGATCCATGCAAAAGTCATATCCCAAATATTATCAAAATACGGATAAGGCATAAAGCCAGAATACTAATGTGCATATCAACGTACATAATATCCTTATTTAGTTATTTAAATATTTATTTTATTAGTGTAATTTTCAGAGATGGCAAATCTTTCCCGCTGCGTTTTATGTCTACTATTATTATTTTTAAGAAAAGGACAAATTACCATCTCAAATGGGCTCCTTGTCAAGTACACAGGAGTGAAACATTTGATTCCACTTTTCTTAATGTCTGCATGGAGAGTTACCCCTAGAGGGAATAGAGAGAATATGTTGGACAGGGAATGTTTTTGTTTTGTTTTTTGTAATCTGGATTAACTGACCCTATACATTCAGACTGATTTGATACGTTTGTATTGCTTTACCTCATAACAATAATGTAACTTGGACAAATGTAAAGCAGACTTCTTTAACTCCATCATAATGAACTCAGGCAGTCTGGGTATTTTAGCCCCATCAGCAGCACACAACAGGTGCAGGACATGCGTCGGCAGTGGCTGATGAGACCTCCCTGCATCTGCGTGCTGCTATTCAGCGCCGCCGCCGCCGCCGTGTGAACACATTGTGAGCGCGGTGTGAAAGCGACAGCCCGGAGACCTTGAACAACACTCTTCTGAATGGACCTGTGCCATTAACTGTCCCGAAGCCCGGCTCTTTAAACCCTTCACGCCTGAGAGGGGTCCTCCATCTGGTCCCAGAGAGGAGAGGGAGGGGCCGGTTGGGTGGTGGGGGGGGTGGTGGGGGTTGATCAGCGGGAGTCATTACTAACTCACCTCAACAAGAGGCTAATGCTGGTAAACAATGGCCGGGACAATGCTGGGATTATGCTAATGTCCCCCAGACAACAGCAGGGTCTCCAGTTTAGTTTAGATTAAAGCTGAGCTCGGGTTATAAATTTTAACTACAACTTATCTTCCTTACGGCCGCTAATGATTTTGATTATTTGTTCCTACACAGGAAGGATTATCTAGTGATTATCTAATCATGGTTTGGCCACCAAATTTACACCACATGGCCAAAAGTATGTGGACACCCAAAACAGTATGCGCACACCTGAACACTGCAGCCATTTGCGATACTTACAGTAACATGTGATTCTAAAAACATGGACATTAATGTGCTGTTTTAATAGCCTTCACTTACTGGTTTTGGCCTTTCTAACAGACGTTGGAACCTGGCTGCATTGATTCCCAATCAAAGGTCCAACACTGATGTTGAGCGAAAAGGTCTGGCTCACTGTGTTTCAGTTCATCCCAAAGGTGTTGGACGAGGTTGAGGTCAAAGCTCTGTGCAGGCCAGTCACGTTCTTCTAGGCCAAACTGGGAAAACCATTTCTTTATGGAGCCGGCTTTGTGCACGGGGGCGTAGTCATGTTGAAACAACACAAACTGTTGTCACAAAGTTGGAAGAACACTGATGACACAAGAGACTGTGTTCACGAGGGGGGTGGATGGATCTACAAAGTCGGATCCTGTGTCCTACCAATGTTTTTCTTATTTTAATTATATAAAGTGCAGATTCAGAACAGAAGTTATCGCATTTCAGTTTTTTATAGAAGAAGGGGGCGTCGTCACCTTGACGTCACCCATTGGTTTGTGGACTACCGCTTTGAAGCCTCGAGTTTATAATTTTGTCTGTCACCATCTTGTTTTTTTTGGTGCCAGAAGTGACCATATTTGGACGAGAGGGTGGAGCTGGGGAGGGATACGCATTGCTACGCCTGACAGGTTGCGATGCTAGCGACTTGTCAATCACAAGGAGCCAAAAGCATATCCTGCTTTATTGTCAATTTTTCTCCACTGGGACCAAAAGATTCCTGCTTGTTCTACACCATACTCTTTATTATATTATTTACCGAGAACCAACAATTCCAAGCACTTGACCATGACTAACAGTCAGCATTCTGGCAATTATTAATACTTATTATTGATGATTATTGACTTTCATTAACAGTCATTAAACCGTAAAATTTATTACTTTTTGCTATATTTTGCAAACTCTCCAGCAGAGTTGGTGAAAAGGAAAGTTGGTAAATTAAAGAAATATACTATAATTAAAATTCACTTTTATCTGTCTGTCCAAACGCACACACCCTCTATCAATTGACAAAGCTAAATTACATTTCTGTCTTTTTGAAGAATATGTCAAAGGATGTTAATGATATAATGATAAACATAGTATTTAATTAATTTCCATACCACTCTGTTTAGGGAAATTGGGCATAAAGGAAGGATATACTTTGACCCATTCCAACCCAGTCTCATATAAATTATATTTATATTCTTCTAATGGAAATGTAATGCCATCTGAATTGCATTATCAACATAATGAGGAAACATTTTGATGATGATGAATATCTGACGATTCATTTATTTTCCTACAGTATCCTAACTAAACTTGATTATGATCTTGGTTCACACTAAAGAGTGTTAACACTGACTTAAAGCACCAGACTGGACAGGTTGACTCTATTAGCATTTAACCGAAACCATGATGCTTCTTTGAACTTAACCAACCTGCTTTTGTTGCCGACCCGGGTTTGACCCACATCACCGTATCAGTCTGAAAGGGTTATTACTAATTTTGCGTCCCATAATGGCTTTAGGCAGATACTTAAATAATATGCAACAAATAAAAGTAAGCTTTTCTTTTGCTGCTGATTTATCTTCTCCTGAAATAGTTTCATAAATGTCACACATTAATTCATAAATCACACATGCGTCAGAAGCCTACGCTCCTATGAAACCCATTATTTTCAAGCCTATTCAACATATTCTGCTCTTTGATGGATTTTCATTTAAATGAACATCATGAACTTGACTTTACTTTAAGTATGAACTGAATCTTCAAACCAAGTCATGCTTGATAATAATTTCAAAAACCTACTGTGTTTTTTTTCTGTCCTACTGGCAACATCTGCCTCTAGAATTTTGTCCAATAAATGGCTGACCTGCGTGACCGCGTGCCTTTGTTTATTTAGTTCTGTTCACTTGTCAATTTAGCAACATGAAACCTCCCTGAACCGCCTCGTCTGCGCTCAGATGGAGCTGGAGGTGAGAAAATCTTCCTTCATCAGTGTAATTAGATGAAAGGAGGCAGCCATCTGGTGACGCTGACTGACGTCTCTCTGCCTCTGCTTCCATTTTCCTATTCTTCTTCTTTTTCATACAGTTGTCCTTGAGATTGTTTCTAAATGTGATGACCGCCCACGTTTTGCATCTGCAGGTACTGCTTTCCCTTTGGACGACCAGATGGGGCCCTGAAGGCAACGCTCTCTCTACAGGAACGGGTACAAAAACACATTTCAGATATGTTTGTACAAACTTCCTGTAAGGTTTTATCAGTGTTGGTAATATCTTTGTACAGAGCAGAAAGGTTCCGGATCGATATTATCAAGCGTCTAGGAATCATGCTAGAAGTAAACTGAGGACCAAAAACACTTCCACTTTAGGACTTGAGAGTTATTTATAAACTTTCCTATCAGACGTTTTATTTTATGACACTATGACATTTTGCAGTTTATAATAAGCCATTGAATAATAATAAATGAAGAAAATAGCAATTGTATGTATAAGCTTTGTGTGTATCAGTATTATATTTATATATATATATATATATGAGAGAGAGAGAAATGTATAAATAGCTCAATAAAGATATTTAGTAATTAATTTGCAGAGGGCACTAACAAGGATTTAATAATTAAATCGAATTCATTCAGCTGCATGACAGCAATTTTACAATGCATCCAAACACCACATGTTAAAGGTCTTGTGCATTATTGCACGCACAGTGATGCAAACGGGGCTGTGGGCACATCGTCTTTTCTACTGTCCAATTTACCTTTCAACTACACCGCCTGTTAACTTATGTTGGCTGTCTCTACCGGTGGGTGAAATGACTTATTTATGAATTGCTCGGACTTGAAACTGTTGTTTGTGTTGTTTCAGGTTTTGATGAAGGACATCACCACACCTGTTCCCCCTGATGAGATGAAGAACTTAGTGCAGAATTGTCTGGAAAAAGCAGCTGGAATCAACTACAGTCAGCTGATCGAATTTGCTCAAATCCACGGTCAGACTTCATAGTTTTACTTTTAACCATTCATCTGTGTTTAGGTCACTTAGTACATGACACGGTAGTAGTAATAGTAATCAGTCAGTGTTTTTATGCACTTTTTCACGTGTAAAAATCTAGGGAGGAAACCCCACAGAAAATTTTAAACGGATGTAATAAAGCTGCTGGAATCAGTTTTTAAATACTCGCATGCATATGTTTTAGTTTCTGCTGTCAGACAACTGAACAAGTTTGAAATAGTGATCCAGTTTCGTCTTATAAACACTACATGTTAATCAGCAGACAATCCCAAGCTCCTCCTGCACTGATAAAATCAGTATTTTATAACCGCTGTCTATTTGGCTATATTAACATTTAAAATGATCAATCACAGACCAATCAAGTCCTACTTTACATACTTCCACACAGCCCCAATCCTCACTGGACAGCTTGCGCCATCTTGCTGCTTTAGTGTGGGCGGAGGGCTGAAACAGAGAGAAAAAGATGCAAATTGAACCAAATGTTTTGTGGATGTACATACATTTTACAGGTGTAGCAGAACTCTCAGGTGCTGCTCTTTGGTTCAAAAACTGCAGCTGAACTTCAGTATTTAGTTCACAGTGGAGATGAAGAGAAATTGTTGTAAACACTGAAGCACACTAAACGAATCATAAGAAACCATCAAAGCCTCGGTATGTTGCGTAGCTGTAAAATCAAGGGAACAAAACAACAAAAACAAACATTGGACTTTATTTTGTTGGTATTTAACATTAAACAGTTCCAATAAAGGTCAGGAGAAAAAAATATGATCAGGACATTCCTACTTTTAACACGACTTTCCAACAAGAAATGTTATCTGTGACTCTGGCCTTGGGGCTCAAGGTGTCAGGGGGCCCGTTCGTCCGTGACTGCTGCTCCATTTCTCATCTTGTCATGAATATATTCATGTAAAGTTAGTAGATGGAAACATGCAACTGTTCACATTTCACACATATCTCAGACATTTGCTTTAAACTTTTCAATGGGAACATAACTGTATGAAATGAGGTTTGAAAAAATGATGTTTTGTTTTATTTAATAACTCAATTTGTCTGGTGTTCCACTCTTAAGTGGCAAATGTAGCGTTCCCTAGAGACTGCAGCGCTCATATAGCCTCAATAGGAATATGTTGGAAAGACCAAACAACAACCTGACTTATCTTAAAAATGTAACGTGGGTGACGCTAGAGGACATTCATGGGATCATTAAAATCTAAAGGGTTCATCCTCTGAGGAGAAGGAATATCTGCAGCATTTGGCTTAAAGAGGCAGCTGAGGTTTATGTGAAATGAAGTCATGTTTAAATGTTTGTTGACAAACTGCTATGTGTATTAATTTGGTATTTTTCTGTCCTGGATGTTTCCTGCTGTGTTTGCACCTTCAGTGGATGCTCAGACAACTCCGGAGAAAAGGATAGAGGACATGATGCGCCTGGGAGAGCTTTGCATCGAAGTCCTGCAGCAGAACGACGAACATCACTCCGAGGTATATTATTTATTATTTATTTTTATCTATACAGTTTGTTTTAGTACAGCTCTACCTGATGCCCAGCTCTCATTTAGCTGAACCGTCTGAAGACCTGTATATGGACTTACTGTCCTACATAGTTACATGTTTTTAAGGTATTTTTTTTATTGTTTTAGATCCAAACCCAGAAAGCTATAAACTCTACTTGCAAAGAAACTGTGTTGATAGAAATTGGTGGCCAAACCTAAAGATGTTGTTTTTTTTGTTTGTGTCATTTTGTTTGTATTATTGCTTCTTTAGTTTAAGTTCCTACACATGGGGAATGATTATTGATGATTATTTTCAATATCAGTTATTTTGTTTTTGATTAGTTAATTAAACATTCCTGTGAAATGACAAAAATAATGACCATTTGTCCAAACTGATTCAGTCCAACAGTCCAAAAAAACATATTGGAACTGGACAATGTTCCTTAATTTTATTGAACTAAATGTAAATTCATCAATTATCCAAACTCTTAAGTTATTTCACTAACATTGCTCTTTCTTTTCATCAAAAATCAATTGTTAGTTTTGGAGCTGGAGCTAAAAGTACTTTAATAGGCCCAATGTGAAATTCACAATTGACAGAAAATTATTTAATTTCTGTAATTACTGTATCTGAGATCATTTTGATAACTGATTACTCATTAATATTGCAGAAACAGTTATCATTAGCTCAATCCAGTTTCTGAATTCTGAGGAACCCAGTCACTTGGACTGAATCCAGCCTGAGCAACTATTTCAGAACCCCATGTAGTTAAAGTTTGTCAAATCTGACAATTTCTTTTCTGTTTTCCCCATTTTGAATTTTGTCCAGTCTTTTTTTTTTGAGTAATTATTTAATGTTTTGGCAAGGCTGCAGAATCACAGCATCTGGCTTTTTTATTGCACCACAACAGAATGTTTCTTGGAGACAAGACAGGTGGACAACAAATATTTTTTTTCTGTGGAGTTTAATTTGCTTTTCGTTTCGTCTGCAAAGATAGGTACTGCTCCCAAGGAATAAAATCTGAAGCAGGTTTACTAAACATACGGAGCAGCATAATAGGTACAAGGGAGAGGGAGGATCAGCTTCAGAGTGACAAAGGAGGCAAAAAGGTTTTCATGGGGGGGCCTAACCCCGGACTCACACATGCGCCACGTTACGGCTGCGCCACGGCTGCCGGAGAAAATAGCTGCCATTGTAGTCAATGCTTGTGCTCACACCAGAAACGCCGCAGCACGTCCCAGAAGTGGCTCTGCGCTCCGCTGCGCAAAGAATAGGAAGTCTGTCTATGTTTGACGGAAGACGCGTCAAGCAGCACCGAGCAGATGAGCCGGGCAGGAAGTCGATTTTCAAAATAAAATACCTTGTACAGACTCCCAATTGTAAAACAGACCAGAAAAGAAACAAATAAACAACAAGTCAACAACGTGGGGGCAGGCTAAACGCTCCTCTGCTGAAACGCTTCCAGTGTGAGTTGGCACCGGCCTGAGGACGGGTCGAAACCGTGGCGCAGCCGCGCTCACGCCGCCTGTGTGACTCCCGGGGTAAGCCTGAGTATAACTCAAATAAAACCCAAAGTATTTTCAGTTTACGTCAGGTACACATAGTGTAGCACAAGGCTACTTCATATCGAAGCCAAGAGCGAATTGTAGCAAACACAATGCAAACACTACAACAGGTTCACTGCAGAAGAGGCGAAAAAACACCTGACCGCAGTTGAAAGCGTCATCACCTCATCTAAATTGCGGTGCACCTCCATACTTTAATGTTGCTGTGATTTTCATTCACCAATTTGAATGAATTTGAATTTATCAGCAGTTATCTATAATAAAATATGCACATATCTAACAAACGTATGTTTTTAACAACTAGTGAAAGGGAACAACCCCTGAAGTAAATCTTGACTCCAATAAAAGTAAATATTTGCAGAGTGATCATGGTAATATAACTTTTATATGACAGAATCTCAGTGCTGTTGTGAGGAGCTGACTTACTAAAGAAATCAAGTCTTCTCGTCTCCTCAGAAGAACAGTTCAAGTCTTTTTCTTAACCTGTGTGACGCTGGCAGAAGACGCCACTACTCACTTGATCATTTCATTAATGTTCTTGATCACTTTTCGCAGCACTGTCCATTTTCTTCCATTGCCTTTTGTTGGCAGCGCTCACGTTAAAGTGGCAGATGACACGTGGTGGCTCTGCATTAACATCTGCGGCGGAGGCACGATGAAAACAACGCCCACGGCCCATATGCGCTCTGCGTTTATACGCCACAGGGAAAAACTGATCAATCATAGGTGTTGAGACGTGGCGGTTTGATCAGCCCTAAGTGGCGCTCAGGCATCTGTTTCTGAGCTATTAATAACATGCTCTACCGCTGCCATGGCGACTGGGGTATCTCTGCTCTGAGCTTCACATGTGATGTTAACTACAATTTAGTGGCTTTTTGTCAGAGCACTGCCACAAGCTGTCATAGCTTTAAGATGGAGATGAATCATAATTGTTTACTCAGTTACTGTCCGCGTCGTCAACAACGTTCTGACTCCTCCTCTTGTTGTTGTTGTTTTTTTTGTTGTCAGTGTTTCATGGCGATGATGTCAAAGTGAAGAGCCGGTGTTTCAGTCGATAGATATGGACGCTGCTTTCTTGTCTTCTTGGAATAATTATTTGTCTCTGATACTGCTGGATTACCTATTTTAAAAGTTTTTAAATGACTTTTACTCTCCATCCTCACTGAATAATCAGGAATCAATAAACATGCAAATATAGTTCATTTCAAAGGTTGGACACAAAATACATATATGCACTGGAGGTTTTATGTTTTAACATCACGCTTTGTTAGTTAAATACTGGACCACTATTGGGTCCAAAATCCTGCTGGTACTTCAAACTCTACACAGATGTCTTTCTGCACAATGAAGATCAACCATCCAAGTAAAGGAACAATAAGCAAAACATGTTTTTGAGTGGAGGGGGACTTTAATGTTTTTATCTGAATTGAAGTGCAGTAGTTAACAGCCTGGGGACTGGGAGCCTCCCCAGGGGGACCAGTACAGACACCTTGGTAAGAATTTCAAAAGAAAATGAAATTAAACATGTATTTATCTGACTGTCTGTCCTTTCTGTTTCTCTTGTTTTCCACCATGGGAAGGGAAGAGAGGTAAGTTTGTTGTTTGAATGTTTCAGTCATCCTCTGCTCACACTCAGCGCCCCATCAGACTTCATGAGTCACTGCCGACTGACTTTTTGTTACCTTTGTTGTGTGTTTCATGGCCGCTGGATTGTTAAACATCTTCTTCCTTACTGAAAAACATTACGTTTTTTTAATATGTTATGTTATGTTGCACATAGGTGTGAAGGATTTCCCCAAAATATCAGTTTTCTAATTTTTTTATTTTGTAATTCTGATTTAGGGATGATTGAACTGAATTAAGTAAAGTAAGTAATCAAGTGTTGAACCGCCAAATGTTGCACTCCACTTCGTTATCACCGCTGAACGAAGTATGTAGCCATGCCAGCCGGTTTGGAGAAGATAAAGACACTTACAGTCTCGGGAAAACGGGAGTAGATTTTGCAGAGAACACCCAGAAATGACCGTGAGTTAAGTTCCCCCTGACTTCAGCCCTGATCCTACAGTAAATACATGCAGAATATAACAGAAGTGGTGTTTCATGTACGGCGTTATCAAACCATTGTCAAAACTGAGCTTGAAAGTACCTTATTGACCTTGAAAACTAGTTTGACAAAATAGGTCAACGGTCACTTACTAGCCTTTTAAAGAGCTAGATGCGGACAGGATGATAAAAGTCATGAAAGCTTTAGAAAAATCTTGTAAGTAGACCTTGAGTTAAGATTACTTTGTCAAACAAATAGGAGGTCTCTTGTCGAATTTTTAAGTTACCTAGTCCTAAAGCTGCAGCAGGGTCAGTGTCATAATTAAAAATTCTTCATTTAACCTCAGATATCCAGATGTATTTTATTTTTTAGAGCAATTTTGCAGAGAGCATGACGTTCTGCAGGTTTTGCAGGTTTGTTGACTTGATATCAAACAAGGATGAATAAACACATTTATTTAATAAGAAAAGAATTGGTAGGTCTGTGAAAATAGAGATCAAAACAGCAATTTGATTGAAAATATAGATTGTAAATAACCTCTCTGCTCTTATAGAGTGCTGTTTGGTGTATAATTATTTTTCTTTAACACGTAAGCAGTAAGGTCACTGCAGCAGTAAATAAGAAATACAACAAACAGAAGAAACAGGATATATAAGTTAAATAGGATTAATAAGGTTTCATTAAAAAAGTAGTGTTGTCCTTTTTTCATGAATGTTTCTGCCACTGTTCAGCTGACCGTTGAAAGGATTTTATCACTGAGTGACGTTTCATCTTCAGGTTGTTTTTGGTGAGGACAAAGAGCGAAGTATTCAGATTTGAGTTTCTAGTTTTCTATTTTTGGTTTATAGGGTCAATGGTCAATTGGGTTGTTTCACTACCTACGCAGTCATTTCAGTTCTTTGCGATCTAAATCAATCTGTGGAACTTGAAACTTGCAGATAACTAATCCTCAAAATTTAATTGAGACTATATTTTTGCCAAAGATTTTTTATATTGTTTTAATACAGTTGAGAACAGGAACTGACAGTTTTAGCTGCCATGTTGTCAGAAAAACCAGCCTGTGACAAATGAAATGAAAAAAAATATTGTGTTTCTTTCGATTCTCATATCTGACATGGGCAGAACCACCTTGCACCAAAAAGTTTTAAAACTCCCCCTGGATGCAACTATATACCACACAGTAGAAGTAACACAACACTTTTTTGAATTTAAACATTATCTCATTTTAAATTGCAGTAAAAACAATATAATTTCTTAGCAGAAGTCAGACTGTGGACAGCTGAGAAACCACAATTTCATTATGGCAGATCTGGATAAATACATCTCCGCCCATTCTGTATGTACAGGCACTTTATTAAACTATATGGTCTTGGTTTATTGTGTTCATCAGTAGTTCTTTGCCTGCAGAGAAAATAAAATAAAAATCTGTGAGAACCAGATGAACCAGGCACATCTGCTTATGCAGACGCACAATGTAGTAGAGCACAACTGTGACTTTCTCTCTCAGCTACCATTGTAATAGCAGATCATAAAATGTATGACCCAATGCTAGTGTTGCTAGAAGATAACATATTAAAATCCTTCACTTGCGTTTTAATCGCTTTTTTCTACCGTACGGAGAGCTGACCGTTTCCTTTAGTGCCAGCGAGAGGAAATCTTAATGCTACAGCGTAGTGTTGTAGTCGAGACCCCCCAAACCAAGTCAAGACCAAGACTTTTAGGGGCTGAGACCAAGTCGAGACCAAGACTGAGGGAGGGCGAGACCGAGTCAAGACCAACACCAGTTCCCCACATTACGTGACACATAATAAAATGTGGAAGGAGATCATAGGTACTTCTGATCCACATCCTATAAAAACATCCACATACAAACAGAGCTGAAATCAACTTTAGCGTCTTCAACACTCCTTTTCCATGTTTACCATCCACTCAACACTAGAGCTGGGCAAAAAAAATCATCATTCAATATCTGTAATTAACACAATAAATGTCAAATCATTATTTCTTTAAAATTTAACGGCAGATGGTAGCTGTGGTTTTAAACTATTCTTTATGGTCAGAATCACTTCACAAATTATGATACAATCTTATTTCAACAAAAATGCACAAGTTAAATTAAGTAATATGTTTGTTTTTTTTTCATTTACAAAATAAATTAAGTGCTAATTCATTCGTGATTGATTTTATGTCCTGACAGTTGCTAACAGTAACTTAACTTACACATTAGCTACATCGCTGTATGTGGCCTGTCTCCTCATTGCTTATCAGAAGCAAAAATGTAGCTTGGGAAAAAGTTATCACAACATGCCCGGTCCTCACACTCTAACTGAAACATACAGTATACATACGTAAGCTTGCTAGCTTTGCTAACGTCACGTACACACAGCTTACTTTCTTTATGCTTTCTTTCTAAGTGGCAGTAAAGATTAATAACGTGGTCCCAGCTGTCTCCGTAAGGTTGCACTGCAGAATTTACAGATTGCAGTGTGTTTTCTTCTGGACGCTGTCTGACAGATTAATTCTTTATGGTTTAGACAGGTAAATGTTATTACGAAGATTTTGCTGACAGCCAGCCACATCTTCTCCTGTCTCCCCCATTCACTTTCTTGGAGTGCGTGTGAAGGAGGTTAGGAGGGGTGACAGCTGTTAACAGTAACAACACATTTTTAATTAGCACTTATTGGTTGCATTTGAAGCAATAAGTTTAACATCCAATCAAAGTAAGAATGTTAACAAATAAATCAGACAATGCAAAAGAAATTTATTGATATTCCCAAAGTCATGGTCTTGACTGGTCTTGGAAATAAAATCCGAGTCCTCAGTGTCCGAGACCGAGTGCAAATGTACTCGGTCTCAACTCACCTCAACCCCATCTGTCGCAACGAACACTGTGAGCCAGTAATTCTATCTACATTAAGGCTCTCATGGCCGAATTACCTCCTAGTTATCTAATTGGTCACATTCATTCCCTTCACCTTCATTCAGTTTTTTGGCTTTGAAAAACCCTCATTGTCACCTTTGCTCCGACAATCTTCTTCGCCTTCAATATGCTCTCTCAGAAATATGGAAAACATTCAGTAATTTCTCTCTCACATTTTTGTTGAAGGGAGGATATGGAGGAACAGATGTCCTTGGTGGTGCAATAAGTACATTAGCCCTTTACAGTGCCAACACTCTTCTCCTCTTAAAAAAAAAATGGTTGTAAACAGGCTGGAGCTTTTAGTCAGTAAATCACTCTGTTTATTTGTTAAAATTTTCTCCCCCATATCCCTTTAATTCAGATGTAATCCCCTATTCCAACATTTCATTTTTCTTTCTTTCCTTCTTCACATCTTTCTTCCGTTCGTCTCTTTTACCTCCCACCTTTCCTACTTTAAGCTGTTTTAATTATCCTTTTTCAGTTCTTGTCCTTGTATCTCCTGTTTCTCTACATCTGTCTCTATTTTCCTTCAGTCCTCTGCTGCTTTCTTGTCTCTTTTCTTCATTTCTTCTTTGTCTTTCTTGATGGACTGAAAGAGTTGTATGTGTTGAAGAACCGTCAGGCTGGTTTGTTGTCAGTAAGAGGAAATGAAAAGATGCGTTTGAAAAGATGAGTTGTCCTGCAAGGCCACGAGTGCGAGCTGCAGCTATGGTGTTTCTCTTTTTTCCCCGTCTTACATCTCAGCCTCTTCTTCCTCCATCGTACACAAATGCCGACCTTAGTGCATCAGCGTATGATTCAAGGCTGGTTGCACTTTTCTCTCAGATGTCCTTTAGCTGTCAATAGCAGCAATCACCTGAGCAGGCTCACCTCTGTCCACTAGAGAGCCACAAAGCCTGGATGCAACAGCACCTCTGCTTTCTTTTCCTCTTAAAAGCAGCCAACAGTCTAAAGGTGTAAAGATATCTCGCATATGCCTCCATTTATTTAGATTTCTGCAGCTTTTAAGAGGTCATCTGTCTTAATCAGATCAGGATCAGTGTTTGCTCATCAAGACCTTTATAAATCACCATAGAGTAACCTATAGAAGTAATTTGCTCCTGTTGGATGTTTTATGTTTTATTGTATACCAACATTATAATAGTACATGCAATGTGTTATAATACCTTTGATGTCAAAGTGAAAACGGATTTCTACAAATTGATCTAAATTCTTTACATATATAGAATGCAACATGTTTGCATAAGTATTCAACCCCTTTAAACGGGACACACTGAAATCATCACTGGTGCAGCCATTTGGTTTTAGAAGTCTCATAATTAGATTTATGGCAATCACCTGGTGCAAAGGGTTTAAATTGATAGTATAAACACACCTGTAATCTGGAAGGCTTTTGGTGGCAAAAACTCTACTGTGAAGACAAGGGAACATGAAAACAGGAAAAAGGGGATTAGAAATCAAGGGTCAGGGGACAGGTACAAGAAAAATTTTAAAACACTGAGCATCCCTTGGAGTTAAGTAAAGTTACTGATTAAGAAATAGAAAGACTGGCACAGGTGTAAATCTACCTAAAACAGGCCATCCTCAAAAACCTGGCTGGCCAAGCTAGAAGGAGACTAGTGAGTGAGGCCACCAAGGGACATGACAGCTCTCATCAGTTTGTGTTTTCAACATGAGAATTTGAATTCACAGTATGTTTGATGTTAAAAAGGAAACTGACAACAAAAAAGGACGTTTGTTTTCTTTCCAAAAATGGATGATTTTGTCTTTTCACATTTAAACATGACGATGAGGAGTGATAATAAAGCAGAAGACAGTTGACTAACTTCAGTTGGCTTTACCATTTTGGCCTTGATAACTGACGAATATGGTGGCGAGCAACAATCCAAAATGTCAGACTTTAAACTGGACCCTCAGAGACCTGTGAGACATCTACAGTGGGGGAAAAAATTAGTTGATCGCCTGCTGATTTTGTACATTTGCCCACTGACAAAGAAATTATCAGTCTATAATTTTAGTGGTAGGTTTATTTTAACAGTGAGAGACAGACACAAAAAAAAAATCAGAAAAACGCATGTCAAATATGTTATACTTTGATTTGCATTTTAATGAGTGAAGTAAGTATTTGACCCCTCTGCAAACCACTGTTGGCAATCACAGAGATGTTTCTTGTAGTTGGCCACCAGGTTTGCGCACACCTCAGGAGGGATGTTGTCCCATTCCTCTTTGCAGATCTTCGCTTAAGTCATTAAGGTTTCGAGGACGACGTCTGGCAACTCGAACCTTCAGCTCCCTCCACAGATTTTCTATGGGATTAAGGTCTGGAGACTGGCTTGGCCACTCCAAGACCTTAATGTGCATCTTCTTGAGCTATTCCTTTGTTGTTCCCCATGACATGTGTTTTGGGTCATTGTCCTGCTGGATTACTCATCCACGACCCATTTTCAATGCCCTGGCTGAGCGAAGGAGGATCTCCCCCAAGATTTGACGGTACATGGCCCCGTCCCTCGTCCCTTTGATGCGGTGAAGTTGTCCTCCATAAAAAGACCCCCAAAGCATAATTTTTCCACCTCCATGTTTGACGGTGGTGATGGTATTCTTGGGGTCATAGACAGCAGAGATCTTGCAGTGAGATCTTGCATGGAGCCCCAGACCGAGGGAGATTGACAGTTCTTTTGTCTTTCTTCCATTTGAGAATAATCGCACCAACTGTTGTCACCATCTCACCAAGCTGGTTGGCGATGGGCTCGTAGCACATTCCAGCTTTGTGTAGGTCTACAATCTTGTCCCTGACATCCTTGGACAGCTCTATGGTCTTGGCCATGGTGGAGAGTTTGGAATCTGAGTGATTGCTTGCTTCTGTGGACAGGTGTCTTTTATGGAGGTAACAAACTCAGCTCGTTACTTGTATAAAAGATACCTGGGAGGCAGAGGTCCTTCTGATCGAGAGGGGGTCAAATACTTATTTCACTCACTAAAATGCAAATCAATTTATAAAATTTTTGACAGGCATTTATCTGAATTTCTGTTGTTATTCTGTCTCTCACTGTTCATGTAAACCTACCACTAAAATTATAGACTGATAATTTCTTTGTCAGTGGGCAAACGTACAAAATCAGCAGGGGAACAAATAATTTTTCCCCCCACTGTAAGAAGTCCGAACGACGAAATACATCTGTTGGCGTTAAGAGCAGTCAGCTATCAGCAGGACAACATCATTTCACTGTGCTTCTCAAAACTGTTAAAAATCACTGTTGGAACGATAAATCTGGACTCTTGTCCATGGGGAGCAAAAGAGGATGTAAGGTGACATTATGATGGAGCGACAAAGTCTGCCTAGGTAGGAGGTCTGGGTAGATGGACGGGACACCGAAATCATGGACTTCAAACACGGGAGACTGTTTCCCATTTCCAACAAACTGTCAATGTCAGTTTCTGTTATCCATGACCGTGGTAATTCCCTAACCTTAAACAAGTGGTTATTACTGTAACCATGACGAAAAAGGTCCCCTAACGTTTAAAGAGTAGTGCCTTATTTCTACGACCACTAGAGGGCGCTGTCAGTTGAACGTAAACTAACTAATGGCATTTGCTGAAACAGCTGATCTTGATAGAACACATGTTCTTTGTAAAAACAACTTTAGTTGTCATTAGACCTTGTCTGTGTTCAAAAACTAAAACTGTTCATTTCTTTTGTCGTATCTTTCTCAGGCTTTCTCCTGGTGGCCGGAGCTGATGACTGACCATGCAGAGAAATTTTTGTCTCTGTACAGAGCCGACATGGATGCCGCGCTGCAGGTCCAGCCTGTCGACTCCTGGGACAGCTTCCCATTATTCCAGCTCCTCAACAACTTCCTGCGAGCTGACCGTGAGTCTCATTTTGTCAGACGCAGCTGTGCTTTAAGCTGAATGCTAAAGTGTGTTAAAGGACAATTCTGGTATTTTTCCACCTCTGTTATTCTCATGATTTTGGACATTCTGACTGTGGTTCTTCTCACTCTGCAACTCCATTGTAGAGATTTGGGAAAAATGTCTCCAGCAAAACAAGCTACTATATATCTCAGGAAAAAGCAAAAACCTTCCAAAGCTTTCCAAATAAACTAAAATTTAAATTCACAAAATGAAAACTAAATAAAATTATAGGATCAGTCAACCACCCCTTTGCGTCGAAAGGAGCCAGCTGAGGTGGTTCGGGCATCTGGTAAGGATGCCCCCCCAGTTGGACGTGCCTGGGACACGGGTGTAGAGATTGTTCACACTGGTCTGGGAATGTCTTGGGATCCCCCAGTCAGAGCTGGCTAATGTGGCTCGGGAAAGGAAAGTTTGGTGTGCTACCCCCGCGTCCCGACCCCAGATAAGCGGTTTAAGTTAAAGATGACGATAAATTCATTGTTCTGTTTTTATACAGATATATATATCTGTATATATATATATATATATATATATTATTGTTCTGTTTTATACTGTGTACCTTTTTTCCTTCTGTTGGCATGTCTTGGTACAGTCGTTGTTGAACAGGCAAATCTCAGAATGAATTCCTGCTTGTTTCATTTACTGGGTGGACTTTAGCGAATGAAATTTAACATAGAAAGTTTACCATGATTTAAGCTGTTGACAAACTGTGTGTCAAACACAGTTCAGTGTATAATTTCCTGCTGTCTGCAATCACAGCTTTACTCTGCCAGTTTCTGTGGGCTCTGAACCAGCAAGTGTGTGCAACAGATCAGATCATCCTACACACACAGACACACACGCACAGAGCTGCTTCAGATTTTATCCAAATTAAATTTGGTTTTCTCTCTGGTGGGTAATCTCCACACAGAAAGTGAAAGATCCAAAAATCCAAAAATCTCTTTCTAGTTTTACGCTGCTTTTCTTCATTACCTTCGCTCCCCACGCACGTATATACTCCAACTGAGAAAAGGACATTTCGTTTATTATCCCTGTAGTGTTTACAAGTACAATGTACACCTTTAAGAGGAAGCATTTTGCAGCTGCAGTTTGAAAATAAAACTTTAAATGATGCACATAGAGAAATTGGACTGTTGCAACAACAACTTAATTCTAAGATTCACCTGTACAGGAATTAAAAATACACTAGAAATATGAATTACCTTTGCCCACCTCACTGCCAACGTTTAGCCATGACTCCTCACTGATACCTTTTTAATTTCTTTTCATGCTCTCCTCTCTTGTGACAGTCTGACCTTCATTTTCATGCATCTAAAACTGTAGCTTTTTGGAAGAAAATGCCCCATACTGCACATGGTCTCACAGATAAGAGCGCTAATTAACACCAATGATGCTAAAGAAAACAAGGCTTGTTAAGAGACGAGGTTAACGGCACCTTGCAGGCTCTGACAGCGTGGTAATTAACAAAAGCAGTGGAGAAAACTCTCGAGGCCAGACGAGGCACACGATCAGCTGCCCGTGGTTTATCTTCAGCTCAGTGTCAGCTGACCTGTCTACCTGTCAGCAGGTAGCTGCAGAGATCAGGCTCCTTTTTAAAAGAAATTAAACTCTTCAGGAGTTGTTTTTCATCTTTTTAGTAGTTTCTATTAAAGTTTGACAGACTTTTATTGTTGTAATACCAGTGGTTCTCATTTATATCCGGTAGGCTCAATAACAGAAACACCTTTGTGTAAAGCAGTACAAATCAACTGCAGCACAAACTATTGCCTCCAAAATTATTCTTGTTAAATAAACACCATTTGCACGCCCGACAACATCTGGGAATGCTCCTGATGAGCTGCACTGTGCTGTGCTTTGAGCACAGATCCCACTATAGGACGTCAGGCCCTCATGCCACCCTCATGAAGTCTTGCTCGCCTCATGTAACGGCCCTTTCCTGGTTTCTCCTCCATGCTCTTGAGACTGTACTGAGAGACACAGCAAACATTTTTGCAACAGCAAGTGCGCAATCCTGGAGGAGCTGGACTACCTGTGCAAACTGAATGGGCTGCAGGTACCACCCCATGCTACCAGTGGTGACAAGGACACTCACAAAATGCAAAACTAGAGAACAATCAGTCAATGTACGTATGCAGTTGTAGCCATTGTCATTGCCTCGTGACATGTACAGTGAGCTAAGAAGTTTATTATTTGAGGCAAGAATTAAAAAACGAGAAATAAAAAACAGTTAGACATCTCGTTTGTTTTGGTTGTCTGAAGTAAGGAGGCCATTCCAGGACATTTTTGTTAAATAAATTAGGTTTTGAAGTGTTGTCTTCTGTGGATCTGTACATCTCAATCATTGTTATGTGATCTTTCCTGTTGTTTACTTTTGGACCAGATAATTAATCAAGCACCTCAAACAGTGTTGTTTTTTGCAGTGCACAGAAAACTAGACGAAAGGTGATGTCATGGAAAAATTAGGGAAAAAATCAGTCAGTGTCACTGACACACATGTATTAAGAGATAGAAACTGAACTGTCAGAGCGGGAAACCACTTATTTATGTTATGTGCTTTTCACCATCTCAAGGTCCCAATGGTGTGAAGAAAAAAAACAAAACAAAAATAATTATGGTGGAAATTTTTGATTAAAGTACGACAAACATCAACATGCACTGCTGTATTTCAGGTTGTTGTATTTTGTGACAAACTGCATCTGAATGCTAAGATTTCATTTGACTGCTGGAGAAAAATCATTGTTTCCTCTGTCCAAGCCCTCCTTCAGCTCCGCAGCTTTGTCCCAGAGCCAGCAGAGATTTGGCGAGATGTGAGGCGTTATTTAACATGGCTGATGCCAAAGTACCTCGAATACAGTAACAGACAGGCAGGCAGATAGACAGACAGCCCAAGGGCACTGTTGGGAACAAAAAAACTCAGCATTTCATTGTGTGAAGAACCCACAAATCTCCTATATTTGTGGCTCATATCTATTATATTTTTTCTAATTACCATCCTCTGTTAATGCCGTAATTATTCCAAGTGTCACAACATTATTCAACTTTAATTGGAGTGTAATGAGGCAATAGATGAGGAGCCGAAACACAGAACAAGCGAAATTATAGTTTTGACTGTTTGCACAAAGGAGGCCTTCCCTCTTTTGATAATTATGTCAAAAGTGAGGGGAAAGAGATTAATCTGAATACAGTCCCGATCAGACACTCGGGTAGGTTGGAGTAACAAAGGTTTAGAGTTTGGAAGTTCATTTACAAGCCTTCTCTGAACCTCACAGTGATAAAATATGAACAAACCTTGACTTGTCTATTGCTCACACTTTTTTTTTTTTTATATTTAAAACGTTCAAAAAAATCTACAAAACCTCTACAGTGACCGCCTGATCGACTCTTTGAGGATTTTCTTCAACAAGTGTATTATCTCTCAGTTGTTCTGTAGATTATTTAAATGCTCACTTGATTGTCAGCATGTGAATGCGAGCGGTTGCGAGGGAGGCTGGTTTTACACTCTCTGGAGGGCAAAAAGGCTAGTGTTAATCATGACGGAGCAGAGCGAGAGGAATTAAAACTAATGAAGCCCTGAGAGACCAGCCTGTCTTTGTCTCTCTTGGCTGTGGACTGTTACCATCACTGAGGATTTATCTGTCTGTTTGACAGTCTTTCTCAAACCTACAAGGAGGGGTTTGGCGAGTGTCGGTGGTGCACAATATCACGAACATCTTTTCGATCCTAGAAGAATCTTTGTACAATACAAAACCTAACTCTTATGGCATGCGATGTTCAGGTTTGGATGAGTCTTTCAGGATTTTTAAGCCTAAAATATCTTAACTGAAGCAGAGTTTGAAGCATGGCCTGTCCGTCAAAGGAATATGCCGTCAATGCACACTTGATGTATACTGTGTGTAAATTGGCGTTCTAGTTCATCGCAAAGCTGTTGGATGGGGTTGAGGTCAGAACTCTGTGCAGACCAGATAAGTTTTTCCACAACAAACTGGGTAAACCATTTCTTTATGGAGCTGGATTTGTGCACGGGCTTGTTGCCCTGTTGAAACAGGAAAGACACTTAAATTAATAATTTCAATATTTTGGAAAATTAAGAGGCAAAGAGAACAGGGGAGAAAATGCCTGTCAGCACCTCTAGAGTTGACAGAGAAATCCGAGTGCCTTTAAGAACTCATCAAAAGTAGTTGGGAAGAATCTGGTGACCACTGTTTGACATTTAATCATTCAGCAACGATCTGTGCCTTGAAACGCATAAGGGTTGTGCAGTGTTATCATGTATGGTATTTAAATAGTATTTATTCTCCACAGCTCACTTGTGCAATGGGGCATTCCACAAACACTTGCAGGACCTGTTCGTCCCCCTGGTGGTGCGCTACATCGACCTGATGGAGTCATCCATCGCCCAGTCCATCCACCGCGGCTTCGAGCAGGAGACCTGGCAGTCTGTCAAGTAAGAGTCCAGTGTTAGCTCTTTATTTGTGAGAATTCCAGTAGTTTCTCTGTCCCCTCAAAACTGTTTTCTTTTTTATTCTGATCATTAAAATTGAAGGTTTTTTAAACATCTAAGTTGCATATTTCTATATTTCAACATGTAGTTAGGATCAGTTAGGTCATTTAAATATTGGCTTATTGTTTGTACATTTGTGCAGTAAAATCTCTTAAATTGTCTTCCCCTCATTTTGAGCGGCCTAGAACAAATCGGTGTCTTTTTGCCTCTGTTCTTATCTTCATGCGATTATGTTTTAACACATGCCATTTGACACCCGTAACACTCACCGGACATGAAATACATATACTTTAGATGTGGTAGTCAAAGTACGATAGCTGGGATGTGCCTATCTGGGGTGAATGTAATAAAGTTCCTGTTTTTCTGGAGAATGTATCATCAGTTCGAGCTGATGCTTTGAATACACTGCCCCTTTGTGTTGTGTTATCAAGCTCCTGGTGTAAGTGATGGGTCATTTAATGTCAGATGCAGTTTTGTCAGTATGATTACTAATGTATGAAAAATGTTTTTCTTTGAGGCAAGTTTGTGTATAGCACCTTTTACCAACAATGCATTGCAAAGTGCTTTACCTATAGATATAAAAGAAACACGGGACAATATAAAAATACCTACAAATAGGATTTTAAAAGATTTTAATGAAATAAAAGATACAAATTGGTTAAACTCAGACATATTAAACAGGAGACTAAAAGTAATTAACCATTTCAAACAACAATTATTAAAAAAGAATCTGAGAATGTGGCACTCAATCTTTTTCTCCCCATTTTGAAGACACTAGGATCATTTTAATCACATAGATCCTCATCAAGGTCACAATGTATGTGATGCAATGCTTCTATGTGTATAGTGGATGATTCTATCCAATTTTATCTTTATATGCATTTGAGCTACAATTTCTATTAAAATAGTGAATTACTTCTGATAAGTATTAATGTGTACAAAGATATATTCTTTTCAACACCATATTTCTGAAATAGTCTCCATCTGATATAATTCTGCTATGGCCCTGAACTGAAGAAATCAAACGCTGCACATAACAGGAACAAAAGGAGGCAGAGCTGAATGTACAGCACACACAGCAAGGACACACTGCAGTCACGAACAATGTACTGAGAGCTGCACTGTTTTTTTAAAAAAAAGAGCACCTGAACTGAAAGAAACCGAATGAATGGAAGTAAGCAGTGACTTTTCTGTCTTTTATTGGTGTTTGCTATTAATCAATTAGTGCAGGCAGAACAAGTGGCTGCTATTACACGTTACTATCCTTCTTTGTGTGTGCTGTGGTGAAGAACGGCCACTATTACTGTGCTATTTCTTCTCTTTCTCTTTCTCTTTGTCTTTTATTCTTTTAACATTTTCCTTTTCCGCCCTCGATCAACGTCACCGCTGACTCTGGCCCAGCAGGTCGTTAACTAACAATCTTGCAAGCGTTCCTCTTCCCAAAGTCCCCAGCCTTCCTCTCACGCTGCCACAGATGCCCAGCTTCTCTGCGCCCGCCTGGATGGGACCGCTGTGTGAGAACACGTATGTATAAAGGGAGGAGGGTAGATGTCTGAGAATTTGTAAACAAGAAACATCTCACCTGAATCAAAGATGAAATCCATCAATAAGCCAGCGTAGAGCTCTTGGTCTGTTATATTCTCCAGCTCTGAAACAACTGGGGTGCCTGACCTGTCTGAAATTACATCGCTCTCGATGAACCAGGACATTGTTTTTTTTTTTTTATATGACAGGCAACATATAGCATTTGCAACAAGACTAAAAGTCTACAGTCATACCAGCGCGGCTGTTATGTTCACTACACACTAGAAAACTAATCTGCTAAATGGATTAAAAATGAAGACACAGCATTTCTGTTGTTAGATCCTTGCCCCTAGAGAGCGGTAAAGGATATATCCTCTGTACAGTAGCCATTTCAGTAGCATCTACGACAGCCCTACACAACTGTATGTATCAGTCTCAGCTGTATTATGATCTGTATGCCAAAAAAGCACGTTAGCATGTTTACAGTTTTCATGTTGAAATACTAAATAACATTTCGCACATTAGCATGGTGCAGTGCATTCAGAAAGTATTTAGACCCCTTCATGTTTTTCACATTTTGGTATGTTGCAGCCGTGTGCTAAAATTGTTAAAATTAATTTTCCCCTTGATGAATGTAAACTCAAAAGCCCATAATGACAAAGTAAAAACAGGATTAAACATGCATCTTTTGTTGCTTATATTTAACATTTAAGGTTCTGCAGGGTCCAGTCAACACTTAGATTTAGACCATAGATTTGTAGGAGAAATGGATCAGTTCAGGGGTCTCATTTATAAAAGTGTGCGTAGAAACCTCACTAAAAGTGTACGTGCGCCTAAAAGCCAAAAATGGCGTGCACCAAAAAATATTCAGACTTATAAAACCGTGCGTACGCACACCTTTAAGCAGTGTTCCCTTTATAAATCACCCATCAAACACCCATAGTTGCCTATAAATGGTCAGTGAAACGCCCCTCATTAATATTAATGGGATGGGTCACAGTGGGAATCAAACCCAGGTCTGTCACACCAAAGGCATGTGTTTTATCCACTGCGGCCTCACCACCCAATATAAAATAATATGTACTGACTGCATGCTACAAAACAAAATTTAACTCAGTGGGACACTGAGGTTCCTTTTGGTGAAGCTGAAGCATGTTTGGTGGGTAAAAAACGCACTTTCACACAACGCTTGTGCACTGGAGGAAAAGAGGCACCGGAGCTCCACCTCTTTTATAACCGATCTGTGCGAAGGGGCATCCCTCCTATGAGCAGTGACGTCGCTGGCTGGAGGGGGACACACAAACACACGCAAGACAGGGTGACCAGGGTACTAATTTGGAGCCCCCGTTTGAAAAGAGATTAAACCAAATGCATACCAACCTGTGTTTAAACATTTATTTAGGTTACACAAACAGTACACTGCCAATGAGTTAAAAGAAATATGACTTGTTGTAGGCTAAATGACAAAAGCTGAAAGATTTACTTAATAAAATAGTGTTATATATTTCAATAATGTGTTTTTACAAGCAGCGCATCACATCCACACGCTGGCGCACAGCGTTTGACTCGATTAAGGCAATGATCATCTGATAACAATTGGCTACATGAAACTATGCACTCGTATTTGTTCTACTGACGCATTGAAAACAGCATCAATTTAACTGTAATTTGTCCTCCTGTTCCACTTATTTATGAGAATGAATTGCACTGCGTGCAAGTATTAATTAAAATGATTCCGGATTCAACTGTACAACATATTTGACCGATTCTTTTGCAGAAACAGATATATTGGTTTGTGTTTATTATCGTAGATCTGATCTGATTTTGTGTGCGCTGCAAATGATCTTAAATGTTTATTTTTTTGCACACTTCAGGGAAAATCAATCAAACGGGTGTTTGTTTATTCAGATAGGCTTTAAGCATATAATACTCAGAGGTAATATTTAGATTTATTTTACACAATAGTAGGCCTGTTCATTTCAAACTGTTCAACTGTTCTGCCACGTGAGTCGCCGTTTCTCATTTCTCCAGTTTTGTGCGTACGCATGGTTCAGATTGCGTGGAGGACCGTACATTCTCCAGTCAAGTTTGTTTTTATAGATCACTTCCTTGGGAAGTGGCCTATGCACGTTTCCAGCCCTGTTTTGTACATGCACTCCATTTATAAATGAGGCCCCAGGTCAAGTGTTTTGGTTTTTGGGGGCCAGGTATGGGTAAAGAACTCTTGCCAAGACTGTCCTCCTGAATGCTCAGCAGTCACGTCACACCTCTGCTTCTGTTCGTCTGTCTGCATGTTTGTCAAAGAGTTTACATCACTAAAATCAAATACTATATCAAGAAACTTCTCTGGTCTGAACTCCTCTGATTCTTTTTGCTTTTTTACTCCCCTGCTTGAAGCTCAAGTTTTCACATTATATTTTAAAAGTACTTTATTTATAATCCACAATAATGCCGTTAAGTCCTGGTCTCCGACAATGAATCCTCGTCTGAATGAGCTAGGTTTGGCATCAGAGGGAGGTTTGTGGTTTCAAATTGTTTCCTTTACACTGTAGCTCCAGCAGGGCACCACATGCATGTGATCGTTCCTCAGAGACTCGTTGAAAATTTTGTATTGCTCCCTGTGTGACGCGAGTCATTGTGCTGTGCAGTATGCATGTCACGTTGTAAAGAATATCAGTGTCATAATAACACAACACCTCAATTTTCATTTACAGCTTGCAAGGAATAAATCTGCCTGACATCTTGTAAGTGGATAGATGAACTGTTTTCACATGTGTGAAAGCTTTAGCCAAAAAACCTGCACCTGCTCCTTTTCCCCTCCAAATTGTCTAGCTGTATCAAAACATGACAAAATATAGGGCTACCTGTTAGTTCACCTGGTAAAGCACGAGCACCATGTACAAGGTGCTCAGAGCCCTAACAGCAGACACCTGAGAACCTCAGGCTGGGTGTAGCTCACAGTGAAGCAGCAGTTCAGAAGACTTTGGTGTGGTGAGAAACATTAAAAATCTATTTTGCAGCATTTACTACAAACTAAGTAACTAACTAAGTAAACTGCAATACTCTGAATAGGAGGCAATGAAAGTATAGACATCTGTATTTTAAAAGAATGCTAAAACAATTAGCCTTTTTTAAATAAATATAAAACAGTTTTTGACTAAGGGATAAAATCAGTGTGAATTTGCCAGTTTTGGCCAAATGGCAAATTTTCAATCCCCACCCTGTACATTTTGCATTCACACTATGCTGGATTCAAGTGATTGCATGCAATGTTGTGTTTCCCCGTTTGGCCTCATGATGTTATCTCACTGTTAATATGAATAAACACAGACACGATAAAGGAAACATTTGTTTATATTAGTTTACTGACTCCGTAACATGATGGTGCAGGACCTGGTAATAAGATTTAGTGCGGAGTAGCAGTTTTGATGGCAGTAGCTCAGAAGATGAAGCAGCTTGAGCTCTGAATGGGACAATGATTGTGATACCATCCAGATAGAGGTCCCAAGAGAATTTAGGACTGATAATGGAATCTCATATAGTTACTGCTCAACCTGTTTCTATAAACGCGCAAGTAGTTTTTCGGGCCAATGAAAAGATGCAGTAGCCTATGTGTAATAGGCTTCTTCCTATGTGTAATACAGTATAAAGATGTGGCTACACCGAGAAATATAAATGCATTCTGAACATTTATATGTGATAGTAAAATGTCATAAATATATTGTATGTGTGTTTGGTACTGTTATTATTACATTATTAAAAGTTCACAAGCAGTATGATTTAAATATCTGGCTTAATCTGTATTATGGAAACGCCAGGTCGCTAAAGACCGGAGGTGTGCGGGAATGTTGGGGGAAAAAACACCCATGCATTGAAGTGCTATTTGTAGTCGGTCACAGTACCTCTCCAAGCTTCTTTCTATTCTCTCTGTGCTTAGGGGAGTACTTGTCTGTACTCCTGTGATTTTGTTCTCTGAATTGTACACCATGTCATTCAATAAAGGGTTGTTGAAGAGAGGAAAAAGACACACTGTGCTAGAGAAAAGGTGCTAATGTGACAGGTCCACACAGTTTATTCAAAAGGTGTATTTGCACCATTGACTCCTGGAAACCAAGTCTGTTCTGGAGCAGTTTATGCTCCGATAGAGGTGGGGGGGGGTAAATAAAATAAGATGGTGACACAAAGCTAATAAGCTACAATAGCTTCCTCGATTTTACACTCTCTGTTTCCTCAAAGGTCAGTACTGTCAAGGCAACTGTGTGACAAAGTTCACCAAAATTGAATCTGATTCAAAAATGTGTGTCTTGGATTTCCTTCACCCCCACAAACGAATCCTCTGATCATAGTGATTCTTTTGAAATGAATTGCTTTTGTTGCAAAATGGTGCCATTTTAAAGAGGGGAAGCATGTGTTGTGGGAAATATGCAATACAAGCAATACTTAAGAAAAGACATGTCACGCAGTTTAAGTCAGTTATCAAGCAAAAATCTCATTGATCTCTAGTTCAGGCTTCTCAAATGTGAGGATTTGCTGCTTTTCTCTGTTTTATATCATTGTAAACTTTGGGTTTTGGGCTGTTGGTCGGACATAACAAGACATTTGAAGACCCCTTGGACTTTGGAATGTATGATGGACATGTATCACTGTTTTCAGACATTTTATAGAATAACGTTTAAAATTGAGAGTAATAAGTGTTGAAAATAATGCTTAGTCGCAGTTGTACTGTTGATTCAGATGTGGCGTCAGTGAGAGATCGGAGGTTTGATCTGAATTCACCTGCTAAGTCCAGTTTATAGAAACATTTCTATATGTTTCCATCTGCCCATCAGTCTGTTTTAGAGCAAGTGAGTCTGCAGCAGAACTGGCAGCCACGTCGGGGCCACCGACGCTCGACCAGGAGGCTGGTCGAGGGTGTGTTTCTTAAAAAGGCTCCTCATGCCGACTCCCCCAGCCTTTCCCACAACACAGACCACACTGTTCCTCTACCTCACTTCACTTGGCCCTCCTCAATCCAATGAAAAAAGAGAGGAAAAAAAGCTGGCACTTCATTAGCAAGCACAGACGGGCGAGTGGGATCGTCCCGTTCCCCGGGGAGCGGGGCAGAGCGCGCTCAGAGAAGAGCACCACTAATTAGACATGAGGGGGATAGCCACCGAGTGTTTAATTGCACCGCAGACTCAGCCCAAAGCGTTTATTCCTGTGCGCCACTTGTTAAGGTAACAGTCTTTTAAAGGCGAAGTGAGAAAAGTGAGAGAGTGAGTGGTGCTTTTTTTAACCCCCCCTCCGTCACCCTCCCTCCCCTCCTTCATCCTCCCATGGCTGTCATTCTAGCCAGGCGCTGTACACTTGGATGTCGGTGGCGGCGAGCGTTGCCATGTGTTGCTGTGTAACCTGTGCGCAGGGGAGAAGGCGGGGAGATGTCCATCTGTCTCTGTTTCAGCCTGGTGCTGTGTTCACTGACTGAAGCCACACAGTTCTGCACCAAAACTACCAAAACCTGTTGAAGATAAACACTAAAACCTAAATACACTCATCTTCTACGAGTCTTTATTTTTCTCAGGTCAAGATACTGAGCACTTATGGTGTTTTCTTTTCACTAGTGGTTGAACAAAACACCAGTGAATAACCATACAAGTGAATCTACATGTTTGTTCACATTCAATTCAAATCAGTCCATTAATTTTTTGATTTACTTTCTTCCTTTGTTCCTTTTACTCAGGTAAAGCGTTAATTAATAGTTTGATATCCTGGACTTGATGTTAAACTGCTGAAAATGTTCATGACCCCTGATGACAGAAAATAAACCCTACAAAGCAAACATTAAAAACATGGAATGAAGTTATAAAAAATGACATTGAAAATCTTTGGAAATACTTTATTGTACGGGTTTGCAGTTCCCTAGTAACAGTATACATATTTCTATCAGGAAACATTCAAGTAAATCAGTTGGAAATTACAGACCCATATATTAAAAAAGCACTTCTAAATGTTTCTTTTCAACAGTAAACTCTGCAGCCTCAGGTGTTGGAGTGCTCTTGAACGCACTAAAATGGTCGCAGCTGTATTACAATCCAAAGGTCACTCGATTAAGACACCAAAACAGTCTTGGCTGTGATTGATTAATTTCTCTGCCACAGGTTTTAAGGCTTAATTTTCATAGAAATGTGCTGAAAACGATGATTGTCTGTCTAGGTGCTCAGACTCTGACCAGACCTTCTGGAACTGCCTCAGCTATTTAATGCAAGCAACCCTGCAAAAGGAAGCAATATATACTGTAATACTCCAAAAGTAACTTTATATCACCCATTCAAAGCCTAATCAGCATGTCATTTACAATGTCCTGTTCATAATCTACATCGCTCTACTACAACCTGGAAAGAAGGAAAGAAATCAATCAAAAAACTGATGGATGGTTTGGGAAATGCTCAGCAGAATGTTTCATGACTTCTCCTTTCAGAAAAAGAGTTAAGATCCTCTCACTTGCTGCAAATTACCAAAATAAGAGCTTAGTGGAACAAATGAGCATCATAGATCCTTGTAAGAAAACACATCAGGTCCATGTAAACGTTTGTGTTGTTGTATTTGTGACATTCAGTTAATAACCCTGTCCATCCTCCCTGCAGTAACGGCTCTGCCACCTCAGAGGATTTGTTCTGGAAGCTGGATGCTCTGCAGATGTTCGTGCTGGACCTCCACTGGCCGGAGCCTGAGTTCGCCAAACATCTGGAGCAGAGACTCAAACTGATGGCCAGCGACATGATGGAGGCCTGCGTCAAGAGGTCAGCCTGAGAGGTCGCCACCGCCGGATCAGGACCTCTGGGTTCACATCGGTCTAGATCCTTCTCACGCTTTCGCTTTATTTTTGTACCACGCACATGAATCACTTTTTTAATACTATGACGAAAGAATACCACCCAGCCATGCACGCAACTATCTCATCAGTAATCAGATTCTGAGTTAGCACTTCAAACGGCCAGTGTATGACCTCAACAAGCTTTAGGACAAATCTGAGCAAATACTTTTCTAACCTGAAGACCCTCAAAGCTCAACAAACTCTAAAAACAAACCTTCTTTTGTTAAATAATAATGGATACTTGCAATAATTGTGTTTCTCTTTTTTTAATACCACAGTTTTTTTTGGTGAAATAAAATCAACACTGTCAGTTTTAAATACATTCAGTTTCATTTTGGGCATCAACAATCATAAAAACCTTTTTTGTGTTTTGTCCCACAGAACAAAATCAGCATTTGATGCCAAAATGCAGAAAGCAAGTAAGTCAACGGACTTCCGGGTGCCGCTGTCTGTCTGTACCATGTTCAACGTGCTGATGGATGCCAAGAAACAGTGCTCCAAACTCTGCGTGCTGGACACCGGTCAGGAGGTAAGGCATGACATAAGTCACATGACTGCACCGCCTGACATCGGTGATGTGACATCACAGGGTTTACATTTTAGGGTACATCTCCAGCAGGATATTTCAAAATTAGATCTGACTGTCACTGCAGAAAATCTCCTGTCCAAACGTTTATTTAAACTTTTATTGAATCCTAAAATCTTTTCCTAAATCAAGCAAACAAACATGGTATTTCTGGCTTGTTTTCCTTTTGGCATCACTTATTTTTTCAGGTATTACCTCTTTTTTTAAGTTTGGATGTAGAGGCACTGGCTGACTTGAAAGGCACTGGTGCACCGGCTCAAATTCCCGTGAGCTGGAATGAGCTAGAAACATGAAACTAGGGGGAATAACTGAAATTGGTGTGCATGACCTGAAATATGAACCCAATCGGCCACATGGTGGCGCTGTAATTAAGGCTTCAAAATCCATTCTTTGAAAGGCCACGCCCCTCATGCCGTAAGTCCGATTGACTTGAAATTTCTCGTACTGGTCCAGCTCAATGTGCTCTACAGAAAAGCCTCAAGGACCATTAAGGTCCGCCTAGAAAGTTATTCTGCCATTTTTAATTTTTTGAAAATCACATTTTTGACATCTCCTCCTAGACCGTAGCTCCGATTGCCACCAAATTTTCAGTGAATCTTCATTGGATCAAGCTTATTAAAAGTTGTATAAAGCGTGTCGATATCTCAATTACTTTTCAAGATATGGACCAATAAACTTCAAAGGGGCGTGGCTCTGGACATAGATTAACACAAATCAGCAACCGTAGGGTCAATCATCACAAAACTCACAGGATATGTTCAGATAGGTGCGCCGGATATACCTGAACAGTTTGATGTACATACGTCCCTAGGGGGCGCTACAAGCACAAGAAAGGTGCTTAGCATTACACAAATTACATTATAAATCCCATATTCATTCTCCAATCATCACAAATCTTTCAGAATATGTCCTCATAAGTAAATGAAACATGCCTTGAAAGTTTTGTTCAAATTGAACACCCGGGGGCGCTGTAAATGCAAACAAGCTGCTATATATATGATATAACGCAAAGCATGCTACAAAATATATATGTTTGTCCAATCAACACAAAACTTGCAGGATAGGTCTACATAAGCACTTCACACATACTTTGTAAGTCTCATTCAAATTGACCACTAGGAGGCGCTACAAATGCATAATAATTGGATATGGAATTAAACAAATCAAGCAAGCTATAGATCAGAAAATGCTTGTCCATTCGTTACAAAACTTGCAGAATGTGTTTCGTAACAATATTGAACTATATGTGTGAAAGTTTTTTGATGGCGATATTGCGAAAAAAGGTATAAACCCGCGAATCGACGCTTGCAGCTATATTATTATTAAATCTGCCACAAAGGGATTTTAAAAATAATTTATGATAATGTTAGCAAAATGTCAAATCAAATTCCACAATTCCATCACAAATTAAATTTCAATAGTCATGTCACTAGTCTTGATATTAGTAAATAGTAAATGGTATAAAATTGTTGTTGTCAGACACTTGTATAACAATCTGAGCCTGTCAGTGGCAAAAGCAGGCACTTTAGTGGACGTACCTTGGCGGTGTGCAATTTCACACAAGGGCAGCCCGGTTGCAGCCCTGTTTCACTGCTGCCAACTGCAGCGCACTCGGTCAATACTGGACCAATTTCAAAAAGTGTTGTAGACACAAACACATGGGAAAATAGGGTCCCGGTTATAAAATACTGAAGTTACCCCCCTATGCAACGATGTAGGTGTCCCTGGTAATGGTTCTGATGTTGACTGTGAGGTATTCACATAACTTAATCAAGTCTTGACAGTGAACTAGATTTGTTTAAGTTCTGGTTTGGTTCTGGAAATGTAATAAAAACACCAATGTGCACATGATCGGGACACTGACTGTGTCTTTTTTTATATCCCACCGGCACATGTTTTGACTGTGCTCAAAGTATTTTTGAAGTTTGTAACATATAGCGTTCCTGCTGTAACTATGAGAGCAGAAACATGACCACTGACAGTCTTCTCATGTCCAACTTTAAATCCCTTTAATTGCGATTCCATTGAAACAGATTTTGGTCTAAAAGGTTGCGCTCAGGTCCTGATCCTGTCATCTTCCTGTCTAGTTTTAAAACACTACAATTCATTTCTAGAACTAATCTGAAACAAGAGGAGACGCTCAACTTGGAAGAGGAGGAATCATCTCCACATTGGCAGAATATTTTTCTTGTTTGTAGAAAAACGAGTCTTGGCTGTGTTTCAGACTAAATCACTTAAGATGGATGGATGATTGTATTTTTCAGTTTGCACCTCACATCTCACCATCAGAGACTCATTCCTCACAGAGTGAAAGTGTGTCAGCTTCTAAAACCCTCAGTCGTCTTTTATTTTCAGCCTCACACCGAACAGGTCAAGTCAAACTGTCAGATCAGCCACTAAAACACGACTCTTTCCCTGCAAACATCCCTCAGACGGGGAGTTCAGGTGTATTTGTGTTCACTTGAAACGACCAAGCGCTCGACATGAGCAGTTAAATGGATGACCGTGAAGCCTGTGTGAGGCGACAGCCTTGGCGTCGCTGAGAGCGAAACCCTTGGCCGCCGGCAGTCTTGACAGAGAGCTAAGCTCGCTGTTCTCTTAACCTTCAGCTTCCTCTCGTCTCCAGCTTTCGCCGAGCCGCCACCGCCGGCTCACAAACACCGTCCGTCCGTTCATTCCCGCTAACACGCACTGAATACCTGCCTGCAGAGAGAGACACACACAACAGCAGCTTTTTACACATCCTGACTGGTTCTAGTGTTAGATTTGAGTTAACATTTTGAAGATGTTGCACAAAGACAATTTCAGACACAAAAGCAAGACAAGAAAAGACTAAAGGGGGTGGGGTCACAGTACAACAAACTCAGTTAATCAAAATGTACCTTTAATGCTGGTAGATTTTCCATTTGCCTCATCATATAAAAAAGTTATTTTACTATAGTGCTGAAATTATTAGTTGAGTAATCGACTAGTTGACAGTCAAATTCAAATACAACAGAAATCAGATGGTCGAGGTTGAGCTAATGTTAACCAATTATATACTGTTGCTACTCCAACATGATGGAGACTCATCCTTCAATATCTCCCCCAATTTCCTTTCCCCTATCTAATTTAAGACAGTCGTATTTAGATGCATCACAAGACAAGACAACAAAAAAAACTTACAGCATCCAGACCATACATAGCTCAATTATTCACATGACACAACAGAGCTAATGATTGTAGAGAACCAACTGTGATATATTAACAGATTTAACATCTTGAATTGAGACAAACAAATCAGTACGTTTTGAGCATTTTGTATCCCTCCAGTCGAGAGGAACAAACTGATTTCATCCAAGTCCATCTGGGTTTCCAAACATAACAAACCTCTATTTGACATTGTGTCGCATTAAATGTTTAATTCAATTTGCCAGGCTGAAGTTCATTCAGACCCAAAAACTCCATTTGAATAACCTTGATGATAAAATGTTCAGTGTGTTTGAATTCTTCTCGGTAGTTTTCAAAAGGAGAAAAGCTTTTACAACTGGTCCGCTTTTTTTGCTGGTTTTACATGTTTTTACAGCCGACAGTGGGAGATAAATTAGGACCCACAGAGACTGAATACCATAACGGTGTTTGGTTTGATAGTGTTGCCAATTCTAACAATTATTCTTTCTTATTCAATGTCACAAAAAATATGTCTGTGTCTGTCTGTCGCACAACATGACTTAAGATGAAACATTTGACTCAAGGTCAAAACTATAATGGAAACTGATATAGAAAGTTGTAAAAACCGCAGAAAAACTTAAACAAGGGGAAATCTTATTAAAGATAATTCATGGTTACTTCTGTGGATATATAAGAAAAAGAATCAGTCTTGAGTTATATTTACATAACCCTGGTATTACAGCTTTTTCTTTAACATTTCAATAAAAACATTTAAAACTGTTTTTAATGTCACTGATGTGTTTTAAAATTTGATTAGCTGACTGTCTGTCCTCTTGTCTCCCCTGTCCCTCATGCCCATGTGTTCTGCACGTCATTGTTTAAATCCCAGATTGACAAACAATGGGTAAGTCCCTCCTTCGCCTCACCGCCTTTTTCCCTCTCTCAATTCTCCACACAAGCTACACCTAAAAACATGTTTACTTGTTTTGAAAACACACACACACATTTCATGTAGCTAAAATATCTCAATTCATCAATTAATCAAACATTTTGAGCCTTTAGTGTGTTAGTGAGTGAGAGAATATTACACAGGAGATGGTTTTAGTTTCCTTCAAACCTTTTTATGTAAACGTTGAGCCTTTTTCAACGACAGTGGTGTCCGCTCGTGTTTCTGGAGAGCTCCAGCACTGTATGTTTTTCAACTTTCTTCACTTTGGCCACACCTGAATCGCTCCTGATTTGCTGAGCACACCTGATCCACCTTCCAGCTCCAGATATTTTCCAGATTATTTGAAAGGGCCTCTGGGTTGGTTAAGAAAGACCTTCTCAGACCTTATGAGCTTCTTCTTCTTTGCTTCTTTTCTTCTTCTGGGTTAAGAATTGTTGGAGGCTATAGTGGATTCGTGAGCACAAATTTCAACCAGCTGTTAAAGGGGCTATACATGTGGTTTTTATCCGCCACTAGCAGTGAGTTTTTCAGATTGCAACCTGGTTTGTGCTCGTACACATGCTCAAACGCATGAGTGAGCATAATCGGACACAAAGACCAAAAAAGGTGGACAATCTGTGCACCTGAGTAATCTAAAGTGATTATGAAGCAAACAGCAGCAGATTCGTGCTAACGTTAGCTGGCTGCCCGTGCCTGCATCGCTATAGGCTAGTTTAAACAAATCGCTCCACATTTGCTTTTTACCGTTACATAATTTCCTTCAGGCTAAAATCAACACTATGACACAATGGTACAGAGGTTAGTAATGTGGCTCGGGTTCAATTCAATTTTATTTATATAGCGCCAAATCACAACAACAGTTATCTCACAGCGCTTTTCATAAAAGAGCAGGTCTAGACCGTACTCTGTGATGATATTTACAGAAGCCCAACAGTTCCCACCAAGAGCAGCACTAGGCGACAGAGGCAAGGAAAAACTTCCTTTTAAGAGGCAGAAACCTCGAGCAGAACCAGGGCTCAGGTGGGCGGCCATCTGCCTCGACCGGTTGGGGTGAGAGAGAGAGAGAGAGAGAGAGAGGCAGCCTACACAATATACACACAGAGGTACAGACAGTGAAAGTAATGTTGCTATAAACTAAATGAAAAATGGTACAGATATGTATAATAGTGTTAATGGTAACCATCGTAATGTTAATGATTATAATAACAATAAGACTAGCAACAATAGTCGTTGCAGCAGAGGGTGTCGAGCAGGAACACGGGGGCAGCAGGTGACCCGCAACCACAGATCCAGACTCCACAGCTCCAGAGCCAGAAACACCTGCAGGAAGTGATAGGAGGAGAGAGGAGAGGACGAGAAAGCACAAGACTACCAGAAAGGGGAGAAGTTGTGTTAGTAACATGCAATAATGGGATGAGGTTGCATACAGAGGGAGAGAAAGTAGAGGAGAGAGGAGCTCAGTGCATCATGGGAAATCCCCCGGCAGTCTAGGCCTATAGGCAGCATAACTAAGGGATGGTTCAGGACTCACCTGAGCCAGCCCTAACTATAAGCTTTATCAAAGAGGAAAGTCTTAAGCCTACTCTTAAATGTGGAGATGGTGTCTGCCTCCTGAACCCAAACTGGAACCTGGTTCCACAGGAGAGGAGCTTGATAGCTGAACGCTCTGGCTCCTAGTCTACTTTTGGAGACTCTAGGAACCACAAGTAACCCTGCATTCTGGGAGCGCAGTACTCTGGTGGGGTAGTAAGGTACTATGAGCTCTTTAAGATAAGATGGTGCCTGACCATTAAGAGCTTTGTAGGTAAGAAGAATGATTTTAAATTCTATTCTGGATTTTACTGGAAGCCAATGCAGAGAAGCTAAAACAGGAGAAATATGATCTCTTTTCCTGGTTCCTGTCAGAACACGTGCTGCAGCATTCTGGATCAGCTGAAGAGTCTTAATGGACTTTTTCGAGCAGCCTGATAATAAGGAATTGCAGTAATCCTGCCTAGAAGTAACAAATGCATGGACTAGTTTTTCTGCATCATTTTTAGACAGGATGTTCCTGATTTTCACAATATTACGTAGGTGAAAAAAGGCGGTCCTTGAAATTTGCTTAATGTGAGACTTAAACGACATGTCCTGATCAAAGATAACTCCAAGATTCCTCACAGTGGTGCTGGAGGCCAGGGCGATGCCATCCAGGGAAACTATATCTTTAGATAATGCATCACGGAGGTGCTTAGGTTAGCTGGTGAAGTAATGTGAAAAGCCACACAACTGTGTTGTGCACCGGATAACGTTAGCAGCTGGTCGGCAAGCTAACGTTATCTAACTTGAGCCAACTAAAGTACAAAATTACAATAAATTTCACATGCTTTGCAGTAATGTTAGTTTACCTGTCCAATAGGATGACAGCCAACTCTGTGTCGGTTTCAAAACAAAGCCGAGGTCTCTCCATGACTCAAGCCTTTCCGATGTTGACTGTGTTTTCACCCAAAGGGCTCCAGCACATAAAACTTTGTTGTCGGTTTTTATCCTAACGTGGAGTTTGTGTTGTTCTGGGAGCCAGGGTTTTTTTGTTTTGCTTTGTTTCAGCACATGGCCGTATCTGATGCCTCAGCGACAAACTCTGCTGCCACTCTCCCTTTTTGGCATTCGTTTTTAGGGAGAGCAGTGTCCATATTTTTATTGTGTACATATGTGGGGAGCAAGCGAGCAGACAGCCTATGAAAAATCTGCACTTGAGAATTTAATCCAGATGAAAAACTCCTCTGCTGAATTAATTAATACTGTTTTGATATCCCCCTCATTTAAAGAGGTCATTTAAATAGTGTTGGAGACTTCATGTTGAAAATGTGACCCGGTTCAGAATCTAAAACACCTCACAGAGCTGAAGTAGCAGCAGCGACTGCAGCTCCATGACCAGATAAATGTTTTTAAAAGCAATAATTGTTCTTTTCAGTTTTTGCTGCGCACATGGCAAAGACCAAACAATTTTTTCTCTTCCTCTCTGCTTTTGTGTCGGCCTTTGTAGAAATAAAGCAGGGAAAAGCAGCAATGTTAATTGAGGTAAGAAGAGAAAAAAAGAAAAGCTCAAGATTTGCCGAAAAGATTCAGCGCACTGAAAGAGAACTGCCATTTTGCGGACTTGTGGAGGGGAAAAAAAAAACAAAATTAGGGCTGGCGGCGGTGACCTCCCCAGACCCGCAATTTGTCAGTGATCTGTGCGCTTTGTTGATTGAAATTTTTAATTTGGGTGTTCTTTAGACGGCCAGTGAAAGGGCATTGTCGCCAAGAGATGAACTCCCCTGCTGCTGCTGCCATTCAGCCCTCAGCCCCAGCCTTTTTTTTCTCTCTTTCCTTCAAGGGAAAAGGTGCCATGAATATGTTTTAGGGGGGGCCAAACGAGACATGAAATGGCGGATTAATTGAATCTTGTGTGAGCCTTTGGTCCTCGCAGCTGGACCGGTGCTTTAGAGAAATACAAGGCTGCTCTAATTGTAGGGAGACGCACAAAAAGTATCCTTCAGATTCCTTCGCTTTTCCAGCGCGGACGGGAATGTCAGCCACATAATGGTCCTATTAGCTGCTTAACTCAGCGGCGTTACACGGTTGGGAAGGTTTTTCACGCCTCGCCATGTCGGTGAGGTGTGTGTGTGTGTGTGTGTGTGTGTGTGTGTGTGTGTGTGTGTGTGTGAGCTTCGTGTTCATATCGAGTGTTTTAGGTTTGTCTTTCTGTCTTTTACAGCACAGACGGTGCTGCTCTTCTGTCTCGAGGAAGCAAGGAGTCATATTTGGTCTTTGTGTCCTGTCAGTTTTCTGAAAATAATAAAATATTGCTCTTTGTCCCCCCCCCCTCAGCAACAGTACCACTCCAAAATCGATGTTCTGATTGACGAGGCGTTCAAAGACATGATTTCCTCCCTCGTCTCGAAGGTAAATCTCTTTTTATCCTCCAATCAAATCCATATATATATATGTGTGTGTGTGTGTGTGCTGAGATTTATTCATTTTTTCTTTATTTAATCCATGACTTACTCTTAGATAGTGACAGGATGGGTTTCTGACTTTTCCCTTTAAGAAACACACAATGTTTTTTCATAAAAGAGGTGCACTAAAGAAATAATAATAAAGAAATAAAGTTGTTTCAAGAATGTTCATGAACTGTATCTCCAAACAAGATCGAATGATGGATCACAGCACAAAACTCGAGACAATGTATTTATTTAGAAAAAAAAGAAAAATTAAAAAAAAAAAAAACTTTGTGCAAAGGATGAAAAGTTTCTAAAAACTACAAATGACTGCAGTAAATTGTCATTGTGTCTCCCCCCCCCCCCCCCCCCCTCTGTCTGCAGTTTGCCGCTGTTTTAGACTGCGTCCTCTCCAAGCTCTCGAGATACGACGAAGGGACATTCTTCTCTTCAATCCTCTCTTTCACAGTGAGTAGCCATGTTTTTGTTCGCCGAAACAGAGAGCAGCGAGCTGTTTCTTTCACTGCTCACAGAGGCAACCTGTTATTTGCTGGAAACCAGATCTTCCCAGCTGGACTTCAGTGTCATTCTTCTTCTTCTTCTTCTCCTCCTCCTCCCCCCTCCTCCTCCTCCTGCCTCCCTCCTGAAAGGTGAAAGCAGCTGCCAAATATGTGGAAGTCCCTGTGAGTTTGTCGATTCGCCTGCTGATTTATTATTCACCCTGTTTGTCACAGTTGGTTTCCATGTTTGTGTTTCCATCCGCATTCAGACCGTCGAAGCGTCGGGTGGAAAATAAAGCGGCAGCCTGTAAATGCAAAGCGGCCGTCCTTTGCATTCAGCCTCAGTCATGTGTTTGTTGTTGTTTTTTTTAAGTTTGTCATCATTCAAGAGGATTTTTATTCCATCTGCAGCTTCACAGCCAAAGATCACACAACAAGCCTAATAAATTGCACTCTTGCCCTTGGAGATGTGTTTTGCTGAAGTGTCTGTTTGTGGGCGGTGGCGTTTGGGAGTCGAGTGGTTAATGAACGACGGCGGCGTGGCAAAGATCAGAGGCTGCGGCGAGCGAGCGGGATGAGGAGACGACACAGGAGTTAAAGTGTCGAGGTGATGAGGCATTAACGGTTGGCGGCGTTCAAGGTGTGAAAGAGCAAGAGGTTTAATCTCCAGAATTAGATCTCACAAAGATAAGGCGACCCCTCATTTTCAAAAGTGATTAACAGCTCAAAATTAACAAAGTACAATCCCTCTGTGATTTGGGTTTTAGCATGTTTTTACATTTTCCTTCTCTTTGATATGAATTTTGGCAGTTTCTAAAAGTATCCTCTGGGATTAAAGATATTTTAATCCACGGCTTCAATCCAAACAGAGCAAAACAATGTGGAGGAGAATTGAAAAATTTAAATTAATACAATAAAAAGGAAAATGAATTATTTTTCCTGTCTTACTAGATGTAGTTAGACTGCAATTAAATGATTTTGACCACAATATAAAAATACATTTCATATTGAATGAAAAAACAAGTTGCATTATATGGATGCTCTCAGTAGATAATGTCACTTTTTCCAATGGTGACAATTTTCTAATTTTACTGTTTGCTTAACTATTATCTTGTTGGCGTGTGCGTGTATATGTGCATGTGTCCACAGTTAATCTCGCACACTACTAGACCCATCAGCCTGTTATGTTTTTTGTGCAAATTTGTGACTGTTTGCTCAAGGACCTCTCATGCTTGCAGTGATTCTTCTTTTTTGAAAAAACTATCTTATTGACTGCTCTGTTTTATCCCGCCATTGATTGCTGACTCCTCACTCCTCTGAACTGGCCATAAGTGATCAGCAAATACTTCAGTGTGGAATCTTGCTTGTTGTTTGTTGCTTGTCACGTTAGGCATTTTCACTTTTAAATTGACAGTTTGCGTAGACGTCTGTCTACACTGGTTACACCTGGATAATGTTACCTGCATGTTGTCTCCCATTCTTTCTGCTGCTCTCATGCATACACGCTGGACACAGCCTGCCCTGCACTCCCTGTTTCCCACCCACATGCCCCCAGTGTCCAGTGATGCACAGATAACCGTTAAAGAACACACTGATACATCAATACGACACACAATAAAGAAATCGCGGGGAAAGATCGCGCTGCTCGACACAATTTAAAAGACAATATAGACTACAGGGGCTGGTAGTGGTGGAGTGAAGTGATGTGGGTGCAGGTCTCTAAGTCAAGGCAAAATTATTTATTGGGTGGGGTGGATGATTCATGCGTACGTCATCACTATCCCAGACACATCTGGTGTAGATCTGCCCTCTACTCAGTGCACTCTTCTAGTTTCTGATGTTATTAGACAGATGTCTCAGCCCATCAGACTCAGCGGTGGGATAACCACATCTCAGTATTCCAGCATCCTTACAGATTGCGTCCATATTGCTCCTCACAGTAGACATTCAGTCCCAAAGTTCAGTAGCAATGCAGTAAGTAGCGTGTCCTTTATGTACAGAGGAGGAAGGTAAAGGTGTCCGAATGCAAGAGGCTAGATTTCTTGTCCCGTCACAAACCTGCAACTAACTTTCTTTTTTAGTTTAGTTTTGTTCTCGAGTTAGATGAGAAGATTTATAACTCTCTCGTGTCTGTTCGCTAAATAGTTGCTACACTTTGCTACGAAACATCAGACTTTAACAGCGTGTCTACGCAGGAGGCTCCCATGTGTCTGACAGATATGCTCCTGTTTTAATCCGTACAGCTGTCTACACGGGCCGCATAATGACTCACACTATACATGTGAATGGGTATTTGCATGCTTAGTATGCTTATATTCTATATTTTTCATGTTATGTACATGACTACAGTGATTTTGCATTAGGCTCTAAATGCCAGAACACAGGCTGACCTACACGCAATACTGTGCACCGAAACTGCTGCTGCTCTCTCTGCTAGCGTGCTGCTCACGCTGCACCCCCTGTGTAGACACTGTGTAACACTGGAGACCGCTGTTCGTCTTCCATTTCCAACCGACATTTCCTTTTAACCATGACCATGTCGGCCCCTAACCTTAACCAAGTGATAATTTTAATGCACATCAACATATTTCCCTGAACATAACCAAACATTAACCATTGCATTTTCAGATCATAAAACTTGTTTATTTTAGAAGGCATAGACAAAAAATGTTGTCCTGCCAATAGGCCGGAAATGCTTCTATGCGTATTTTGTTGTCTAATTTTGGAGCGTTTTTCTAGGGTTATGAGATGATATGATCGTATATAAACACTGTTCATTCCATGATTCATTAAATTTGCCTCGTTAACATTTTCTCTTTGGACTTTGATATAATACAGTTTGAGGATAATGGAAATCTTAATGCACCAGCGAAGTCAGAGTTCAGAGTTGTCCTCAACTGTCATGACAATGGCTATTATTCACAAACAGCGCGTACAAACGTTTTACACGCAAATCCATAATTCATCAATATTTCTAACCTGAATTTGTTCATACTCAACAAATTGAGAACTGCCTTAGAACATGCATACGCACAAATGATGAATGCCCGGCTGTCATAGAAACACACACCTTTAAACTAAACGCATGGTTTACTAAAACCTCGTTTATTAAAAAATGATTTAATAACAATATTTAAAACAATCAATTTGCTAATGCATTGGGCAAATGTATAAAATAACTGAAACTGACACTCTTTCATCCTGATCAATTATTGTCATAATTAAAATATTCAACTATAAAAACTGAACCTAGCTTACATTGGAGTATGTGAGAATATCCATATTGCAATTTAACAGTTTTGGTTTTCATTATATAATGTTACCTGTTTCTCAATGATAGGAAACGTATTTCCTTATATAGAGAAATGGGGGCGTGGCATTTCTACTCTGACTCCTACTGAATGAGGCCCATTGAGACGGGATTTGGAGTGATGAAGTCTGTTATACTTAAAGCTTTAGAGTAAAAAGACACGATGATGATGTGTTTTATGTTGAAACCTTGTTGCACTTTATTAAAAAAGCGTCATTACCGAGTCATACAGCTTTACTTAGACTGAGATACCTCTAGGTTTATATATTTTTTTATGCACGTTGCATTTGAAAAAAGCATGCCTGAAACACAGACGTGAAAACATCCTACACTGAGTCAGAAAGAGCAGCACAACAACCTTATCTAACCTCTTAATCCTCTGCCCCGCCGTGGTACATCTCACTTATCCCATCATGCTTTCTGGTTCCCATCCAGACTTCCTCCTCAATTGCCACCTCCCATGAAATTATAATGTAACCGCTACCTTGGCCTTTTGGTCTTTTGTGTGGAGGGAACCTGACGCAGGTAAGCCTCTTTTCCAGGTGTGGTGAAGAGACGCCTTGCTGGACGGCTCCGCCCCCACACCTTCTCATGAAAAGATGAAGCTTTCACCCTCAAGCGTTTACATTTTGGAGACTTTCTGCTTTTCTTTCTTTATATTTTAGGGGGAAATACCTTTTATTAAAGGGGTACATTTATCTGATTTATCTGTTAACTTTCAATTTTTAGGAACTTGTTTCAGTTTGAAGTTACTCTACCTCGACAAGCCTTTCTCGCTTGCTTTTCCATCTTCAGTGGATGTAGAAACATTAATTGGTGTTTTTACCTGACTATGAAAGTAAACTTAAGTTTGATAAACTATTAATTTTACTTTGCACACTTAGTACTAAAGTTTGATCCAGAGCATGCCGCTGGAATAATGAACCATAAAAAGTCCTTCACTGCAACCTCTCTTTTCCAGGTTGTATCAAGACCAGAGTCACATTATTCATTATCTTTATTTTATAAGCTTTAGTCATGTACATTTATTTAGTGAGTCAGCTAAACTAGAAAATGAAACTGTTGGTAAACATGCGTCACAGGCTGATGTACGTACCCTCAGCGACGGACAGCCGTCAACATATACACTGTTTTGATATTTACGTTATTTTTGTGTTGATAAAGACCAACAGAGCGAGTCAGTGCGTCGATAAACAAATGAGCGTTAACGTGCACATTATTATCCAACTCCGTACAGTGTAGCTAGATCGTAAACAACAGATAAGATTTTGACCTAGGATCTCCAATCTGACTCCCATTTTTTTCTTTTTTATGTTTTATTGCAGAAAGTGTTTGCAACCCATGACTGAAATAGTCATATATCCCTCAAGGACCCCTGGGGGTCCCCGGACCCACTTTGAGAACCACTGATTTAGATTATAACTTTTATCACCAGCTCTAAATGTCAGCCACATTTTTAATACAATGATGATTGAGTATCCTAGTTTGTAGGCCTAGCTGTTATCGCTATTATGACCATAATCATAAATATAAGCTGATTGACAGATTCACACTGATACAAATATGGTTTTACTCAGATTCTTTTTCTTTATATTTAAGATTCACATTTCTGTCGATTAACTAAAAATTACATTCATTATGCTGAATATCTAATTTGTTTAATGTCAATTCATTTTAAGCTCACACATGGAGTGCAGTTTTCACAATATTGTTTATTGGCTCCTTGAATTAAACAGTGGCTCCCTATAAGAGTTCCATTGGGCCTATTTGAATTTATCCCAGACAATCCTGAATCAAATAGTAATGTTACTGTATTACTTTATTTACTTACCTAATTTAAACTTTTTGTAGTGAAGTGTTTTAAAGTAAAAGA